GCGGCAGCGTCCGACTGATGCTTCAAACACCTTTATATACCCAAAAACGGTTCTTCCATGTTCTTCCCACACACCGCCGATCGTGTCTGAGGCCCTGTACTCCTAGCTTCTGCCAGCGATGACGGCCATGGAAGAGGCCCTTCACAACCTCGCATCCCGTTTGAGGTCGTCCAATCAGAATCCAACCACAAAGACCTTCAAAGGCCGTTTCACACGAACAACAACGCCTCAAATAGATAGAGAGAGAGAGGGAGAGAGAGAGAGAGAGAGAGATGCTCTTTAGGCGATTGGAGGACACCAGCATGGAACAAACCTCAAAACAGTCTGCATACAGTAGCAACCCCTATACAAACTTATGGAAAAAAAAAGGCCCGTAGTAGTTGGACAATGTTGGACACTGCTTCACAGTGCTTCCGCAAAACAGCAGTCTAGCATCTTCTGGCCTTGGCAATTGGCAAGGAACCGACACTGTCGAACTGGGTTCCTGTGCTGAATATTTGCCGTTGATCGAAGCCAACTTCGCACCTTCAATTCGGCAATCGTTGAACCTCCGAAGGGTTGGGCATGCCCGGGTGACTTGACATGCCATATGCCTGTCTCACGATTCCGAAGATGTCTCATGAAGTCAATCACCTGCAGTCGTACGTCTCGGTGGCACCGAGACATATAGAGACTATAGAAGAATGCTGAGATGCTGAGTGAGTGGTGTGAAGTGGAATCGAGCTGTCTCACAACCACCACACAATTCACGTTCTAAAAAGGGTCAAATCTTCAGTTCAGAGGGAAGGCAATGTTCCAATGACTCGAATGCCTAGCAGGATCATCTAAAAGGGAAACATCGAGAATACCCCGTGATCACAGTGCGCACGTTGGGTCGTGGAATGATAGCCCCAAAACAAATCGCCATAACCATCCATAACCACACAAACGAGATACGAAAAAACGACGAGAACTTGCCCAAGTTCACGGGTGTTCAATGCAGGTTCAAGATGGTTCAAGGCTTCGCCGGTCAAATCCTAAAGACTTAGGTCCCCTTCCGAAACCCCCAAACAAAAAAACATCAAAAACACGTCCCTTCGGTCCTCTTCCGCTTGCTTTCCCGCCTGAGGCAACCCAGGTCTACTCATGTGGGAAAGAAACGCATTTTCAGAGACGGACCCGGACCGTTGGCGCCGGACCGTTGGACGGTCCACGTTTTCTATTTTTGGCTCATGCGCCATGTAGCGGGACAAATCAAGGTGGTGTGATCCAAATGGACGGTCCACGTGTTTTGAATATGTTTGAATGTTTTTTGGGTTGCGATGCTGGCACAGCTGGGGTCAAACCGGAGCTGATATTTCACATCAAAATGTAAATGTATGACAGGAATGAAAGGTAATGCCACAACTTCAGCCTGACTTTTCTCTGGACAGTCATTGAGACACTGATCACAAGAATTGCTCTTTGCGGATGTTTCGGATGCTTTCGCAACTTCCCGTGAAGAAATGTGATCCACATCCAAACTTGGCAAACACTGGGAGTCTGAAAGGAGTCGCACTCAACAAACACCCCCTTTAGTTTCCCCCTTCTCTCTTCGCAAAGGTCCGTGTCTTCCGAGGCACTCGGTGTCCGGTCTCTCAATCACCTCCAGCTCCGGCTCGTTCGGCTCCGCGTGGACCGTCGCGTTCGCGAGGATCGCCGGGGGGGTGACGAGACCGGTGGGTGCATTGGGCGCCATCGGTGCACCCGTCGCACGAGCGGTGCTGGGTGCGCTGGTCGCTGGATCTGGCGGGTGGGAAATCGGTTCGTTGGAGATCTCCTCCGACAGCAAGGCACGCTCTTCGGCTGACAAAGGATCCTCAGGCATCGATGGGCATACTGCACCTGGTGTGGGACCAATATTCCATATCTTGTGTAGAGTGTAGAGGTAAAGCCAAGGAGGGATAATTTTGCGATGACATCTGCATGGGCAATCATGTCATCTATACCGGGTGGTCATGTTCCATATGAAAGCTCCTTCGAGTTCGGTGCCAGCAAACCTGGAATGTTTGCCCCTTGCGGCTTGTTCCAATGTCGACACCCTAGCGGATGGTGAATGAGAGGGAGGAAACATACGATGAAACCATTCATATAAGCAACATCCCACAGGTCTGGCAAGTTCATTTTCCATGGCCCAAATCCCTAGCATCCTCCAAACACAACACAACCCCCCTCAAAACCAAGAACCCCAAAACGATTTGCCCCATTTTTTCATCTGCCATGGAGCCACTCCGCTGGGAAGATACAAGGCCCGAATGCAGGCCTGCACCATGGCGCGCATCACCACATCTCGATAGGTCTCCAAAGGTGATGGAGGTTCCGGCGGAAAGTCCAGAAACTCCTGCACCTCGCCGCACGGGCGGGCGGGGCGGATCAGTGGCTCCTTGTTGGTCTGGTCGCCGCGGGTGAGGCGTAGGCGGCCTTTGAAAAAGGCTGGAGGGATATGGAGGGTGTGTGGCATGGATCGTTGGACGCATGGTGATCGGGTTCTTTCGCTATGGGGAAGCCTAAGAACTCATATGTGACACTGTCCAAAGGCACCCAATGAACCACTTCCAAACTCCCACTGGCAGCCCACTCGGTCTACTGGGTTCTTCAACTCAGCAGGGACGTTCGGGTCTCAAAACACCGCGCCTTCTGGTCGCTCAATCTGAGGCGTTCCTGGTTCTCCTTGGCCAAAACAGCTTCCTCCTCAGCCAAGCTCGACCGGGATAGAGGACGTGTACAAGGTCTCCATCCAGGGCGACACGGTTGAAGAGAGGTTGCGCAAGTCTCTGCATGGGAACCACTGGAAACCACCAATTTTTTGAACACTGCTTCCAGTGTAGTAAGGTCAGAAAGAGTGTAACAATCAACTTATTCCAAGTTTGCTTCGCATTCGCACCAGGTGAGGTCCCTGAGAAGTGTCTGTAGCTGACTGCTTTTGCTTTTTCAGCACTGACGCTTTCTATGCCAGCACGAATAGACATCTCTTCACCAGTTGGGGAATTTGTGCGCCTTTCACAAAAACACTCCTTCAGACTGTTCCGAGCCAAAGAGTCCCTTCCCGAATAGCGCAAGCTGCGCAGCCTCTAATCCATTCCTCTCAGCCCAAGCTGCTTCCCGGAACTCTTTGGCGGTCTTCGCACCGGCAAGACGATACAGCTCCTACAAACTGCAGCAAAAACAATGAGATGTTGTGGAGCTACTAGTAACTAGTGCTAGAAACAAGGGCATTACTACTATAGTAGCTTCTAGCTACTAGTAGCGATGCACTTGTTTCGAGTAGTGATGCCCATGTTACTGGTATTTTGGGATGTATCCGCGGTTTGTTCTTTGCAGGCTGTCCTGAATGCCTGCGTTGAACACTAAGTCATACTAAGTCAACATGATCTGATACAGTTGTCGTTCCCAAGGAACTGCGCCGTCTCCAAGGTCTTGTGAACAATGATTCACCTCTGACCAAATGGCTGACTGCGGTCTCCCGATCAGAACCATGCTCGTCAAAGAATCTGAAGTGATGATTGAGACATTTACCCGACCTTTACCAGTTAAACCTGTACTGACATTCTTGCTGTGAAGATATGGATTGACTCTAGATTCCTATTTCAAATTTCTTCCGTGTTCTTGAGCTTGGTGCTGAGCCATTTCGTTTGGACCAGCGAGCCTTCGTGATATCCCAAACAAACAGACAAGTTATATCATAATGGGGCAGGCTTCTTTGGCCGTGACTGGCCGGTGTATCGACCGGCCGTTGGTTTCAGCGCCACGCGCCACGCGCGGCTTAAGGGCGCCTCACGATTCTCGGCGGTGACATATCTCCACTCATCATCCAGTTCGTCAAACTGATGCATGTCTTAGGAGCCTCGGCTTCATGGACCGCGCTCTGAGTATAAGCGCAGTCGGTCATGTGGGATCTGAGTTACCCAGGGTGAACATGCCACCTACTCCGTCTCGGAAAAAAGGAATCTTCCTGCTTGCAGCCTATGAGTAGGCTTGGCGTCTCATCCAACCCCCCCATCATTTTACCTCAAACACACGACTTGAATTTCAAAAACGCATTCCAAAGAAACCTTCATTCACCCCTTTGCGAATCTTTGCGAAGGGGCACGTTGAATCCTCCACTGGAGCCGTTCTTATGAGCATTGCGCCGATCAATTAAGCCCAACGGCTTGGGAGCAAGTCTTTGGCTCCCTTGTTGGATTGAGGATTGTTCCCACGTTTTGACGCTGTCATAAGTGTTCATCGACTTGGCATGAAAACTCGTGCCTCGGGGTTAGACCTCAAGGCCCTTTTCACGCAATCCGAGGTTTCGATCCTTCAAGGTTGTATACGTTATGACCCATGGCCAAATCCGTTTGAAGCGCCATGGATGTGAACAAACTCCATGAAAGCCGTAATTAAAGAAAACGACTAAGGCCTTGTCATGCATTTCATGTTTGCAGGATCTTTCCCTATTTTGAGCCACTGGCTTTCAGCGAGTAGACCATGCTGAAAAGGACCACCAGCAAAGGTCTTGTAGGAGCAACTGGATTACGTCTCTGACTCAAACTCGATACTGAACTCACTGACAATGTGCTGCAAAAACACAACAAGCGACGGCAAGTTTTGCAGAAATTTCCAACTGAATGTAAACGGCACAATGTCTGACTTGGTGATTCAAAGGGTGATGAACTCTAGGACTCTAATTTGCTTGATTCGGCTTGAATGCAACTGATTCGGCATGACTGCAATCAAACAAGTGGTAAGGATTCTTCCTCAATCTTCCTTACCAAGTCAACACGCAACCCCGGAAGCCAACTTCATTTGCTCGGCCTCGTTGATTCTTTCCAGGTGGATTTAAGCAAAAGACATGAATATCTGGGTTGAAACGCTTTCGTACGCACATTCCAGGAATTTCACGGATCAAATCGGCGCACAGGGCCGAACTTGGCAAAGAAGCGCCGCAGCCGCTCCTGTGGAGTGGATCGGAAGACTCAACCTGTAAGACTGCTCAGAAGACGAAAGAACATGACACACACAAGGGTCTCAAGGAAAAATGAACACACAAAAAGAACGAACAAGTGATCGAATCCAGTAGTAATGTCTGTCTTGTATTGCAGCAAGGGCCGCAAACAAGTCCAAAGAAAAGCGACTTGGTCGCTAGGAAAACGTTCTGAAAGAAAGCGTGGTGAAATCTGAGACCTGCGGCTTTTTCGATGCCTTTTGGGGTAGAATTGCATGTGGGAGTCCATGTGGTTCTGCACAGCGGGTACAAGGTTTATGTTCTTTCATGTTCTTTCTACCTAGCAAAAATTGTGGATAAAGCCAGCTTGGTACCTATTGAGGTTGTGTTTTCTTTTGCTTGTTTTGTTTCTATACTGCATATTTTGGGTTGCTTCTAGCCGCGTAGCCATGGAAATGAAACAACTCGCACTGCCAGCTGTCGCTGTCAAAGTGTCTGTTGGTTTCCAGTAAACATTGGCCACTATTTGGTGACTTTGCTTCCTTCTTCACCAACATTCAAACATGTGTCGGACATGACACACCGTTCAGCGATGTTCAGCGTCGGCAGTTGTTCTGAAAGATGGTGGTCACCGTGCGTACTACAAGTCTTTAAAGGAACCGGCCATCGGCAGTTTTTTTCCATCTGGTTGTGAACCTAACGCGAGTGACTCTTGGGGTAAATGGTACATTGGCTTGATGGTTTTGATTAATCTGACAAAATCACCATCATTATCACCCAAAAGTATCCCTTAAAAACAAGGTAGTTCCGAAGCCTAGTAATATACCAAAACAGTTATATCATGATATATCATGTAGCAAATAAATGTAACTAACTTGTTTCATGTTCCAAGCAAGCATTCACTTCAAATATAGGATGTTTGTTTCGTTCCCGCAATATCTTTGAAAGACTGAGGTGTAGATAAGTCTTCGCGATACGCTCCTGGATGTACTCCGGGGTCTTGCCTAAAGGCATCCCCTTCAGTTCCAACGTGTTCTCGCCATAGATCCGAACCACCTCATATCCTCGGACGAAGAGGACTCGTTCAGAAACTGAGTTTGACTGAGAGTTCAACAATGAGTTTGCCTGGAGGTTTGGGTAGTGGAACTTAGGTCACGAAAGCATCTTTGCTTTGCTATAAAAAAGGACCCTATACCCTTTCTGTGATTGCATGCTAGTGTTTCGATGCTTGCCCCAACGCTTGCCACAGTGCAGTCATTCTTCGCTTGACTGTGGGGCGAAACTACAGGTGGAACTAGATGAGGAATCCTCGCGGTGAACGGATCTTTTTCTGCGAGAGGTATGGTGTGGCAAAACAACTGTGGGGCAAGAGTCTTCCCGACTTCCGATGCGGAATGGCAGTCGTGGTTTTCAACATACAGCCTATTCTAGGAGTGACACCTAGTGCGACTGCCACCACCAATCGTACCACTCGCCAGCGACTGTCCCACCAATCGTACCGCTCACCAGCGACACGCCGCATTTACACAAGCATGATGCATGTTATTTAGAAGTAAAATGCCGAGAAGGACAATCTCTCTCTCTCTCTCTCCAGCTTCCACGCCCCGAGCAAGAATCAGTGTTTTCCTCTCGGTGCAGGGGCCATTTGGCAATGCAACTGGAACTGGGAGAAAGGCACAAGTTTGCTTCTGAATGACGTATGACGCAATTTCACGAGCTTGGCACGACCATTTCCCAAGCCACCACTCCCTCTGCATGCGGCATTAAGTGATGTATCTTGGCCATCGTGCAGGATCGTTTGAGTATATCGTTCTGAGAGGAATCAGTTTAGCAAATGGCGCTTCTTCCAAGTCTCAAGCCAGCAAGTAATAAATCTATATATACATATCAATAATTACGCCAATAATTAATACCATACTGCTTTCAGCAGTTTTCCATATCTTTTTCCTGGAACCCCCCTGTGGTTTTTGTGCATTAACCTTCCACTTGCCAAACGCCAAGTGCACGCGCCAAGTGGCCATCCTGAGGTTCATCCGCGTACCAATCGATCGCTTTCCCCGTCACCTCCGACACCTTGGGGGTCGGGGCTCCGCGCTGGCCGAAGCCGAACGGAACAAGGACGCCGGCCGAACGGAACAAAGGGCAATGGCTACCATAGGACCCTAACTTGACCTCTAATATCCTCTAATTATGATCGGTGTTCCTTTTTGAAATAGGGAGGTCTCCGAGCGGTTTTGGACCGGTTTTGCGACCGGTGTTCTTTGTTCCAGCTACTCGAACTTGTGGTCTCCCTTTTTTTGATACACATGCACCAACCATGACATATTGGACATGGATTTTGACAACGCAACCAAGGACTATCTGATGAGTACAAATATCGGTCAGTCTGTTTTCGCAGTCTGTCAGTGTTGTCATAAAAAAGAGGCAGAGCGGGCTGAACAAACGAACGAACCGTCCAAGTCTTGGGTTCTTCACTCCCACGACCTGCCTAAGGACCTGCCGGCGCTGCCTGAGGACACACACTGCGGGATAGTGATGGAGGCTGTCCACCTGAAAGATCCGAGGACAAAATCTGTGATATGTCAATCTGCCTTTCCTTGTCTTTTGACGCAGCTTTACAGAACCGTTTGAAGTGCAATTATGTTTGTCTTCGGCTTGCAAACAGACTAGTCAGCTTCATGATTTGGCACAGGGTGCAAGGAAACTCCTCAAGCTCCAGAAGTTTGTTTGGTATCAAGAACAGCCTGCTTAGGTTGGAGGCCATCGCTATATATCGCTATGAGAAACAGAACAAGAAATCACATGGATCCACCGGGATCCACCGGGGCCCCACCGTCACCCGTCACGGCCTCGCGGACATATGGCAAGGTGAACTGCCACCTGAGGTGAACTGCCATCGATCCCCAACGACCCGGCTTTCCTGCTGGGGAGAGACTGATCAATAGTCCTGGTCGATTTTTGTCGATAGTACCCCCAAATCAAGAGCATTTACCATGCAAAAATGCTCTTCTTTTCTTTCCATGAATGGATCGTAACGGTGCATCCAATTGGTGTCCAGTCCAGTGCTGAAGCAAATGGAACCGGTCGACAAACGAGTTCAGACCGCAGTTGCAAGGTCAACCCCCCATAATCCCCATATAAAAGCATGAGGGATCGAACAAGCACCTGGGCCACAACAAATAGATCTACGAAAAGCAACGGAACATGGAACACAGTGCATCACCTCAAATGGCCTTCTTGAATTGCCTAATGGCCACTCTGACTGTGACTTCGCATCGTTTTCTCCGAACGGTCCCAACTTTTAAGGGCCAGGTCTAAGGAAACATCAATCAGCATCCACTCCAGCCAAAACGAGGAACGCAAGGATCGCATGGAAAAATGTCATTGTCCGAGGTTCGTTTCTTTCCAAACAGCAGGGGCTATTTCACAGAAAGCATTCTTTCCGCCCTCTGCAAACCCAAAATCAGCGCCCCTTCTGCTTGCAGTAACAGGTGCCACGCTAGTAGTAACAGGTGCCTTACTGGTAGTAACAAGAAGCTATTAGAATTAAAATAGGGCTTACCCTCGGATGTCGTTTCCCTCTGGGACCGTCCCCGCTTCATCTTGCTGGCGCCAGCCATTGGTCGGTAAAAGCCGCGCTTCACACTCCGGCCCGGCTCGGTCTTCCACCTGGAGGGAGGTGAGGGCCCCCTCTCCGTAGAGGGGGGGAAACCCCGCCCATGGTGATGGAAAGAAACATCGAACAAATGAGAGAACACCAAATAAGATACAACAAAGTGCTACTAGATTGGAATAATCATGACCACCAATGGCCGAACATGTTCCATCTTCCTCTTCAAAGAGAGTCATCGTCCATTCACGCAAGAGCTTTCCCGATCTCAAATAGCTGGACATCGCCAGTACTGTGTTCACAACACCGCAGAACGGCGACGAAGCCAACCGCTTCGGTCTGGGCTATAGGTCACCCGACCTCACGGTGTTCCTGAAGACGCGAAACGAAAAGAAGCTGCTGAGGTGGCGGTCTCTGACTTCGGAGCCTTTGTGAAAAATAAGGATTGATCTGCTTCCACCTGTTCTATCTCTCTGTGGCCGAAGCTCATCTCTCCAAACATGACAAAGGTAATCCACTGACTGGCAATTACACTCAATCAAGCATGTCACGTGGAGCTGAGCTCTCCTGGGATGTGAATTCCGTTTCAGTCGGGGCGAAAACAGGCAGAAACTGCGACCTCAGTCGAAGCTGATCTCGTCTCGTCTGTGCTCGTAAGATCTTGAGACATAATGCCAACTCAAGCTCCATAGTGTCAAGTGTCAAACAAATCCTCAAACATGATCGAATCAATTATATTGGTAGGATGGTGGTGTGTATGTTGTTCCTTCAGTATGGCCAACTGGCTCCGAACTCTCGAGTTGTTTCTGAGGCTTAGGCGCATGGCGACGAGAGATTTCTACACGGCCAACCGAGCTGTAGAACACAGCTCTGCACGTGTTCCCCGGAACGGGTATAAAGTGTAAATCAATGGTCAGCTTGGGCCCAGCAAAGCAGAGTCGACTAGCATGTTCTGGATGGTCTTGCTTAGCAAGCAGGGCTGCCTGGTGGTGCTCAGGTGCACTGGGCCTACCAAACCAAAAACTGTCCTTGCAGTGCTTTGTTGGTGTGATGCCCAAGGACTTTGAGCATGGAATGAGACGGTCTCAATAGGGTTCCATCATGTTGCGCACAATTTTTGCCACATGTTTCTTGTCCATGTAGTCTTCAAGAACACACAGGAGTGGCACGGTGAAAACATGGCCAACTCCAGTCATTGCCGATGGGATCTTCATGGATCGCCTATTTGGGCGAGCGGTAAGCCAAAATGCGGGCTCATGCTGCGGGTGGGTCGTTTCGAGAAAGATTGATGTGGGACAGGTGTCCGTGAACCTCGCCAGATTTACACGGGGGTGCCGGTCAGAAGTCTTGAATCCACCGATCTAGGAGAAGAGGTACTAGTTGATTCATGGTCCATACAACAAGTACAAAACCCCATGGCAAAGGATCGGTGCATCAAGTTTCAGATCACACCACCGAAATTCGGGCCACATCTTGAGTTGAGTCTTGCAGGAACTTCGGCGAAAAGGACTCCCGCCAAAGCGTTCATTACTTCGCTGCGAAAAGAACCGGTGCAGCGCCACGGTGCATCGCCACACTGAAGCAAATGAATTGTGGGGAGAGTATGACCTCGGGAGGTATGACCCTTTACCTAAGGGTATTACCAGTCTTAATGCTGCTCACAATTTGGTTCCATTATGTTTCATGTTGATTCTTTTCTTCAGGCCCTTGAGGATGACTTCGAAGCAGGCCATCCATCAACTCACCACCGTCTCGCAACCCGCAACGTCTCGCAACGTCTCACACGACCGACGCCTCTCGCCGGTGTGGGAACGCTTGGACATCGGCCTAACGAGATGAGCCGTGGCACCTTCAGAGCTGACAGGAAGCCTGACACCTCTGATGTTCATATATGTTCTGTACGCATGGGTATGTATGGAGGCTCAGGTGAGCATGGACAATGTAGGTAGAACTCAGCCCAAAAGAATGAACTATCATGTTTTGCAACAACAGTCTCCTTTGAACATCCTTGAAGATCCCCCTTACTCAATGGCGACCCCTTGCAGCTTTTACATGTTATAAATAGTGGGTATTTATAAAACGGAAAGCCAACATATTTTCATTGTATAACATGAAAAACCATGGAAACCCTGTTCTAGCTACATATTGTAACCAAGTCACCAACAAATGGTTTCATTTAGAACGACAGAACCAACATCTGAAGATACAAAACAAAAACACGTACTCATGAAACGATGGGACCAAGATCCTCATGAAATGATGGCTTAAGTTATCCTTCATTCTTGGTTCAGCATTGTGTCATTATATACACCTACTTTACTGGGAACCAGGTTGGATTAGAAATCGGATTCTCGTCGTCAATCTTTCGACATCTTTGAGCCTGCACAGTGTTGCCGGGGTGTCAGCATGAACTGTATTTATGAACAGAACTGCATCTCATTCATTGCCATTATGGAATGGTGGTGTCTCTCCCCCCCAAGGTGTTTGTAAAATGTGTGTGTGTTTTTCTAATATGAATAGCGTGAGCTATCCTGCGTCCAGTAGTTAGTAGCTTAAGTAGGCTACCAGCTACCTAGCTACTACTAGCTGCTTCCTACCTAGCCTCCTAGCGGCCTACCCCCTAAAAAACACACACACTTATTTGAATAGAAGGGAGTCTAAAAATGGAAGAACCCAGAATCAGTCGCAGCAGGAACACCCGCTATTCCCACACCCAGCCATTAACTTGGTTTCCTCACCAATGGGTTGTCCACGCACATCCAAGCGCTCCTTCTCCTTCTCCGTGCTCTTCGGCTGTACTGGAGGGCCTGGAAGACATTGAGCAGTGGAGAAGACTCGGAGAAGTTCAAACAGGCAGCCCCGGCCGGGGCACCCAATTCAACTGATTGATGTGTACTGCATATGTCATATATCCATGTCACATTGTCCATCCAGTCAACATTTATCCAGTCAGAATTTCTAGGTCCAGACCTGAAATTCATGTCGAGAATGCAGGCCCGTGCAGGCCCACTTGCAGGCCCCTGACTCATAGCCCTTGCCCCCCTCCACTGCTTTCGGACTCTCTCGGTCTCATCGACCGAGGCCCGTGACGGGATCCACTGGATCGCTGGCTCTCGGACCTGCACCGCAGTCCATGCCCAAAGGCCAGGTCCAAGTCCTTTGGAGCTATGAACTTGGCTTGACCAAACGTTTGACGTGTATTATTGTGATGTATTATATCAAGTATGTTTGTTCAACTATTGATCCTCTTTTTGTGGTCTTTTCATCCTATGGCCAGTGACTTTGCTTACTAAGTTGATCATGCATCCTATTTGGGGTGATTTCAGGGCGTCCCACTCGCGTCTCAAACCACACCCACCTGGCTGTTGCTGGAAAGAAGCGGTCGGCACCTCATTAGGAGGCGCCGGACACCTAGGTGAAGCCTTTGAGATCATCGAACACCTTTGGGTTCCAAAGCCTTGTTCCAAAGCCTTGTTCGAACAATCTGTTGCATGTGAATTCACCCCCGACCAAGGTCACAGTGTTCTTGGGCGACGATGACAAATCACCCAGAACCAACACAACGCTTCACAGTGTTTTTTTTCTGAATCCACAGTTGCTTCAACCTGGGACCCGATGATCAACTCTACGGCTTACTGGGTTTAGGGAGTTCAGTGGAAAAAACTTGGAAGACCCCCTTAGTTACTTTAATAATTAACCAGTATTTAACAAGTATATATATATATACCTACCCCTGGTGCACCAAATGATCCCAACACTCACCAATGATCCCTCAAAAACCACCGTCCACGTCCGACCACAGCCAGGAGGGTCCAACCCCACACTCATTGCCGAGCTCGTCACTGGCGCTCTGCCCGCAGCGCGTGGGGTTGCCGCGCCCGGTGGGTGTGCTTGGCGCCGAGACCTCTGAAGCCAAAGAGAGGGCCGTGTTTTCTTGGTTCTGAAGCGGATGGTTTTTTTGTGAATTGGGAAGCCGGAAGTCAGTTCTTGCAGTTTTTTGCCTGTCTCTTTCACTACAAAAGGTCCGGTGGATTTGCCTCCACGCAACTCACATGACCTAAGTCATCCGAAATCCCTCACCTCATCTAGAATCTTGATCAATCACCCCCCAAAATGGACACATAATACCGGATCAAATTGGGAGGGTTTTTCTTCGATTCGACATGATCCGATGGCCATCTACCGCAACTAGTGTGGAGGTCTGAGCTCCCGGACTCCTTCGCGGCCCGAAGGGGCGCGCACAGTGCTGCTGGGCGGCGTGCTGCGACGTGGCTTGGGTGGACCTCAGGGTAGGTGGCATTTTGAGATGCCCCCGTCATGGTGGCTGAGCATCACTCAAGCGAATTGGATGAGACCTAGGTTTTTGATCCTTTGATGTTGGGCTGGCTGGCTGTGCTCACAGCTTTCTGGAGATGTGGGGTTTATTGAACATGATTGGACACCCCTCAGGCCAACAAACTGTTGCATGAATTGGGCCGAACTTGCTTCTTGGGTGTCCTTGCCACCTTTTGAGTCTGTAGATTAGATGTCACCCATACATAAATTGTCACATATATTGCCACCAATGATTGCAATATGATTGGACCACATTCGGATCCAGCGCTCCAAATGACCTTCCTTGACCGCGCCTGAAGAGCGCGGACATGTGTTGGGTGGGAGCTGTCTCCTTGGTTCTCTCTGCCCTGTCTCCTCCGCTTCTGAAAAACTCAGCGTCGCCAAGTCGCTGGGCTTCGTTTCAGCGTCGCTGGTCGAAGAGCTCGAGCTACTGCGTGGTCGCAAGGTCGCAAGGAAGGCGTAGGATCCGGTGATGTCTGTCCAGTCCCCCATGTTAGTCTTGTCTTTTGTATGGCAACAAGAACACACAATTTGGAGATTATTTTGGCTTTCATTGGGCGTGCCAAGGCAAAAAAAATTATGCACACCACCATTGCCTTCATCAAGCCCTCGTCACTGAAGAGTGCTCTTGATTGTCTCCTTATATTGGGAATCATCATTTCAGGAACGCCGGCGTGGAGACCTGACAGGGAGACCTGACGGGGCGATGTCGGTTTGCTGTTGCTTTGCAAGACGTTTGCCAAACAGCTGAAGAAAGAACACTGTAAATTCCCTAGGGCTCCAACCATATCCTCAAAAGGTCGTTAAACCCCCCAAAGCCACCCTAACCATCTTCTCAGGAGGTGGTTGGAGCCCTAGGGATTGTGAATTCTTGAGTCGCTTCGGACCGTTAAGACTTTTGTCCCTGGAAATGTGTTGCCTACGATTTGGCCTGGGCTTCGATTCCTTTTTGACCCCTTCAGCCCTTGCATGGCGCGGTCCCGCGCGAGCGCACGCCCGCAAGAGGAGGAAACCGAACGCTGGTCCCGGCGCGCACGCGCGGGAGCTCTGCATCTCAGACTTCAAATCTCTCTCGCACTCTCTTTCTCTGACAGCTCTAGATTATTTAGGTATACCCAAACACTCCATGTACGGAACTCCAAACTATACCGATGGTTTCGATCCCAAGCCAAAGAAGGATTGCGTGTACCCAGTTTTTGTTGCATTATGAGGCCAACAACATTGTAAGTATCAATGTTTTTCAACCTCGGCAAGACCATTTCCACCGCAGTGGTGTCTTTGCAATAGGAGCCCAGAAACAAATCTGGCACGACCAATGTGGGGTGCACGCACAGCCGCAGGCTCTGCTGGAGAATTGACAGGGCCTCAAGGGTATATGGTTAATGTGTGTTATAAAATTTCTTATATTCTTTCTCATTTAACACTGTATAATTTTTTTCTGACTTTGATGCCTGCTTGAAAGTGTTGAAGCCATGATGCCGGTCTACTCCCATTGCGTCAACTCCCATTGCGCGAGTGGAATTCGTCGATTTCCGCCCAAAATCATCAGGTGTCATTTTCACCTACAAACGATCAATGCCTTTGGAAAAACAAAAAGCCCCTCTGGCCACTCGTTCCCCCACTGCCTGCCTGGGGCTTGGTGAGTCGTGGGGGTCCACATGGCGCCTCCTGGGGCCACCACGACGCTTTTTTCTGCGAAGACAGACGAAGACACCGGTGGTCTCGTTGAGACTTCAAACATGGACTAAAATAGTCTAAAATGCTAGTTCAGAATAGCAAATTCTGAAATGGTAGTTCTGAACAGTTAATAGACATGAAATGCTAGTTCAGAACAGCAAATTCTCAATCAAATGGTAGTTCTGAATAATAGTTCGTGTCTACATGCACATCTAGTAGGCACAAGCTTGCAAATAGGTCCACCAAACCCATATATCCACCAAACCCTCCGCGGATGCAACACTCCCCTCTCGAGGTTCCTTTCTTTTCCATTCTTTGATTGTCTGTATTTGGTCTTTCTTTCAATCTGTCACTGTCCTTTCTTTCTTTGTTCATTCCGTTTGTCTCTTCATTCCATGAATGTCTCTCCACGCTCCCTCCAAAATACACCTCCCTCCCCTATAATGAAGGCCACGTCTTCCGCAAAAGCACGTCATCCGCCCAGTTTCCGGCTGGGTGACCCAAGCCAAGGGCAAAAGGTCTTCTTCTTTCGAAAAGAGCTGGGGGCTGAGGTCCCTGCGAGGTGGAACATGGAGAAACCAGTTCTAATCGTCCTGGAAAACCATCGATTGACAGTCAACCTCTACCAAGTATTACCAAGTCCTTTCTTATGATCATTTTTCTGCAGGTACCCTGTCATCTGCTGTTAGGCACTGGAAATCCCCGAAGTCAAGGAACAAACATTTTCTTGGCTGAGAAAAGAGTCTGGTGAACCGCAAATGTAAACGAATGATGTTTGGGCTAGTCTCTCTGAGATTTCTCTTCCAAAAAGGCAACCAAACGCCCTACAATCCGTTACGATCCGTTACGATCCCACGAATCTCAAAGCAATGAGTCATTGTCCTGGAATCTTGTGGATACAGAAGCCGCGAAACTAAACAACCTCTTCTTCCAAACCAACAACCGTGCTACCCAGGATCAACAGTCAGCCAATCGACCAAGCACATGATCATGCACCTGATTATATCAAAGAAAGGGCAGGGACATGTCATGGAACGATGACTTCCCTTACAAAAAACACCATCAAGGCCTGTCTTATAGGATAAGTTGCTTTCGGGCTCTTCGATCTCCAGTCACTTCTGAACCCCATCTCCGCTCCCCTTCCCGCCCGGGTGGCCTGCGTAGGGCGAGGCGCCCGCTTTTTGGAGCTCCGTGCGGTGACACCTGGGCGCCGAGAGACGGGCGCCGATGTGAAGAGCACGACCGCTGATCAGCACGACCGCTGAAGGGAAGAATAGGGAAGAAGTTGAAAACCCTTGCAGGAACACGAGATCTTTTTGAATAAAGATTGGAGATATAGATGACCATAGTGATTATAGATGCCTCCTGTAGACATCGAAGTCAGTTGGGGATCTTTGGGGCCATCTCTCAAAACGAGGTACTGAGAGTCAGAGTGCCAACCAAAGGAGCGGATTCATCGGTTGAGCCTCATCACGGTTCATTTGAGCTATAAAACCGTTGCCTCCTTCGCACAAGGATCTGTCTTCCTCGTCGTGTGCGCCCCAATTCGATGCGACAAATATGGGTGGATCCAAGTAAGGATTCCGGAAAAAAACTGGACTGAATATCCCATCCAGGTAGAAGGCCATTGCCAATTGCTATTAATTAGGATGGAGGCCATTGCTCTTAGGTTGGAGGCCATCGCTCTTAGGTTGGAAGCCATCGCTAGTAGGGTGGAGGATCATCTTCGGTTTCTTTGAGAACCAGCTCTGAAGCACCCCCCCATCACCTCTCCTGAGCCCCTGAGGTTCCGGCGCCCAGCCATGGCCTGGCATATGCACTCAGGTGGCTTTGTGTTCACCACAGCTTTGAGGGTCGGTCCCATTCCACAAATCATCATAGTCATCATCTCAGCCCAAAGACCTCGAACCCTGGAGTCACTTGTCAAAGGTTTGAAGCAGAAGCAGTCTCTGTGCGAAAGAGGCATGGTGGTCCAGTGGTGGTGGCGGTGCAACAACTGCAGTGTGTAGTGGAGTCGCCACGGTCGCTTTTCAGCAACTTGAAGATGCCGCCTTGCCTGCTCCAGTCAACCGTGCCAATAGTCCCATTTTGTCGCATGTGTTTGGCGGTTTTGGTACAGCATTGAAGTTCCTACAGTTCTCGGACCTTTTCATCCTTCTGCCAGCCTGCCACGCCTGTCAGAGTACATCACCAGCTGGGGTTCCCAACGACAGGAGCACACACCCGCATGGTGGAAGGTTTGGCAAAGGCAGCCACTGACCTGTGAAACGTCCGCCCGAAAGGAGGCTTTTCTGAAAGGTGTGCTGAATCGGTCACAGTGTAGACAGGGGGAAGTCACACACTCAGGACGTAGAGACATGGGGGGTGGTTCTTTGGTGACACATGGTGAAACAAACCAAGTCACCAGCGCTTCGAAGCACCTTCACATTAAAAGCAACTACTTCTTTTGGGGCCAACCATGGTCAGCCTCTTGGATAGCCCCTTCAGGGCCTATGGAAAGCACCTCCGTTCGTCAGTGCCGTTCTTCCGTCCCCGCCGTCGAGCCTGACATCCATGGAAGGCCTTGGCATCATGGCTTCCTGGTCCGTGTCCACACGTGCACAAGGCACCTGGAGCAACGCTTGGCATCGGGCCACGTCCAAGGAGGTGGTAGGTTGGGACCATGTGAGTTCAGAACCAAAGCATGTTGGGATATACAGATCTTGTCGTGCGTTGGTTACGTTTCACCTCGGTTTGTCTTCTTGTTCTAATGGTATTTCCACCATCGAACTCCACCGATCTTCCACCCCGGCGACCGAAAAGCCGACCGAATGGCGCGCAGGCGCTTTTGCCGCGCGCTTCATCCTGAGTCGACCTGACGGCCAGCGGGGCCGTCGAAGAGCGCCGGGGATTCCAGGTTGACAAAGGGTTGAAGGTCTTTAAGGAAGCTAATTGCGATGGCCTCCACCCTAGTAGCGATGGCCTCCAACCTACTAGCGATGGGCCCCAACCTACGAGCTAATGGCATCTGTTGCAGGCTACAGCTATGTAGTTTTGCAGGTGCAATGGCACTTTTCCAATCATGTCAGATCTTAAACGCGTATGGGATGAGTGACCAAGAAACCAACAAGTATGACAGGGGCAACTGCTCCAATCCCTTCTCAAATTCCCTCCACCTGATAGATCGCGCACGATCTCACTGAACTTCCATATCGACTCTCATGACCTGACACCAATTGGATCCTGGTGGACCAAGAACTTTCCTGCTCATCCCTACTGACTCTCTACTGAAATACTTCTCCCTACTCTCCCCCCTTCATCCCCATCCACATCCACCCGACAGACACGGACACGTCTGCCTCCACATCCGTTCGCCGGGTGAAGCTTCTGCTGAAGCTTCGCCCGAATTGACGGCCCTGGAAGCCTCAAGCATCGAACGATGTTTCACACACCCTGCCAGAGCTACAAGGCTGAACGAACACACTGCGCACACACACACATCACACATCACACATCCATCTGAGAAAGGATGACTGGGTACCGACAAAAATGGGCATTAAGAAAAGTGGTTGGCACCCTGAATCCTTGCCGTGTTCTTTATCAACTTTTGCTTCACGGTCTTTGTTAGTCTTTTTAAACAGACCCAGTAGTCCTAGCTGTCCAATGCCAAAGCACACACAACAATACAACAAAACCATCGCGTGTTTCGGAGCGGCGGGTGCATGACAGGCATCGTCATCTGGGCTGCTCACTATCCTCTCGTTGTTTGGGGCGGCGCAGGCTTGCCGATGGAGAGACTGGCATGATGCCTCCACGAAAAATCGCTGTGTTCGAAATGTGCCAGGACCATCCTGTCTGGGTGTGCTGGCTGGACTAGCCTGCACTATTTGGGGATCTCCATTGGACACCCAAACAGGATGGTCCAGGTGGTAGACTCTAATGTTTTGAGGCTGAACAATTTTGGACAAAAAAGAACGGTCGCGGTTTCGGCCAAACTTTAGACTTCCTTGAAGCATTCTTGCTAGTTGTCACAGGGTGATCTTTACACCCGCAATAAATGCATTTACACTTCAGTGCATTTCCAACCTGACAAATTTCCACGGAAGAAACTCTGCCAAGTGCTCTCGCCTTTGGGCTGCTGCGACCAGAGCGGCTGCCTAGGGCAACGCCGTTGGGCCGTGGTGGGCCACCAACCCTTGCACGGCCGAAAACTCGATCGGCGCCTAGATCGGCACCTTTTAAACATGACGGTATGCAGCATGCAACATTTGATCAAAGATGCTTTTGAAACAATATATAGAAACATATACCCTCCCTGAAACAACCATGGAAGTGGAAAAGCATGGACATGACAAACCCTTGTCCTCCACAAGCAGGGGATTGTCCACTTCCATGATTGTTTCAGGGACTGATCCGGAGGGAAGGTATTCCTCAACTTTCATCAGTCTCAGCTGCCTTATAGCCTTACATGCGTTCGGTCACTACAGTTTTCGCAACATCGTGACTTTTGCAAACCAATACAGCATTCCTGCTAACGACTGCCTATGCTATACGGCTTGTCCAACACCCCACTCATTCCAACAACACATTAAAATACAGGCCCAACTTGTTGGTCCGTTTTGAATCATCGAACCCTCACACATTTCCGTTGCTGGGTTCCCATCTCCATCCATCTCCCATTCCCTCCACGGACTCCACGGACCAAGTGGCGAGAGCGGCTCATCCATCGTGCCGAAAGGCAACACCGTGGCACTGATCAGCAGGTGATCCTCGGCGGAATGAAGCAACTGGCAAACAGCGAGATCCTGGCGAACTTGCTCATCTGATGTCACCCCTCTGATGGGAACATTGAAACCAAAAACGCAGCCTGGTCAACGCCCAAAGAACTGGCATGTGGACCTTGCATGTTGTCGGAAAGTCAATAATTTCCTCGACACTTGGAGCCATGTGTATTCAAAAAGAGACAAAGCACTATAATGAGGAGCTTCAACTGGTTCCTGTCTTTCCATCACAATACGGCCCCCACAACGGTCCCGCTCTACGGTCCAACCGCCGCCTCCGCCGATACCTCGAAATCTCCAGCCCGAAATCAATCCGCCGCTCTCCGGTCGACTCAATTGGAGTCCAAGTCACTGAAGGTTCCTTTTCAGTGGGCAAATGGCCTCCTTGAGTCACCGACGAGGGCAAACGCTCCACGGAGACCACCTGCTCCCCCGCCCGGTGGCGGCAAAGCCGGCTTCGGCGTCTTGGCCAGCGTCTCCGCCCACCACCCAAAATGCCCGAAAAGAACGAGGTCAAGGGGAACATCCAAAACGAGACAAGCGTGTTGGAGACGAAGGCAACATCCGGAAGATGGAATTTGCGATGACGAACTGGAGATCACAGGAAGAGGTCATTGTTGAAAAGTACATGGTGCGGAGATGGTGTTTGACACCCGCTCTGAGCTCTTCTCTCAGCCCCTTCAGCTTCCCTCAAGATACACCGGGATACACGGACCGATAGTGGTGGACAGAGAGGGGTGGACTTACAAGGGAAAGATGGGAAAAGCATTCGCCGATATGTGCCGAATGGAGCGCATCAACGCGAAGCAGCTTTTGTTCGTGCTTCGGTTCATCGGAAGACTGCTCTGCCCTGTGGCTGAGTGCCTACTAACATGCCAAGTGCCATTGTGGCAAGCTGGTGTTGCCAGTGCTGGCACATGCCGTGACACTCATGAGGCTTCTTCTCAGCACCGCAAGTCTATTTTCCAAACCACTTTCCGGCATGGTGGGTAAAGGTATCGCCTTGGAGCCCAGAGTCAAACCGATGGTCATTGTGCCCTTTCTTTGTCCATGTTGCAAATACCTCTCCAGCAGCATCCAAGAAGCGGGTCATCGTGTGGCCGTCGGTGCGCTCGATCTGGTCAGTGCTTGAGGATTGGGAGAATGCACCCAGAACCAAACCTGCGATCGTCTTGCCAGCGCCACAAGGAGTGCTGTCGTTATGATTGCAATTCTCCTTCGGCATTGCTTCGCTTCGCTGGAGTGGAAGGGCGACTTGTACTACTAGTACAACTGTTTGGGCTTTCAAGCAGCTGCGTCGGACAGTGCCTCATGGCGATTCACCTGTCAAAGCGCCTATTTTGATACTTCAAAACCCTAATTCCAGGACTAGCCAAACAAAATCATACCAAACACAAACAGCATCAACAAACTTCTCTGAGGCCAACAACCTACGGGATGCATTGCAGCAAACATGCATCTAAGTCGCACATATCCACTTGGTCACGCTTTCATCTGCATCTAGTAATCAAAACGAAACAAGCGTGTTGGAGACCCAAGGCAACATCCGGAAGATGGATTTTGCATGATTTTGCGATGACGAACTGGAGATCACAGGAAGAGGTCATTGTTGAAAAGTACATGGTGCGGAGATGGTGTTTGACACCCGCTCTGAGCTCTTCTCTCAGCCCCTTCAGCTTCCCTTAAGATACACCGGGCTACACGGACCGATAGTGGTGGACAGAAAGGGGTAGACTTACAAGGGAAAAGCATTCGCCGATATGTGCCGAATGGAGCGCATCAACGCGAAGCAGCTTTTGTTCGTGCTTCGGTTCATCGGAAGACTGCTCTGCCCTGTGGCTGAGTGCCTACTAACATGCCAAGTGCCATTGTGGCAAGCTGGTGTTGCCAGTGCTGGCACATGCCGTGACACTCATGAGGCTTCTTCTCAGCACCGCAAGTCTATTTTCCAAACCACTTTCCGGCATGGTGGGTAAAAGTCTCGCCTTGGAGCCCAGAGTCAAACCGATGGTCATTGTGCCCTTTCTTTGTCCATGTTGCAAATACCTCTCCGGCAGCATCCAAGAAGCGGGTCATCGTGTGGCCGTCGGTGCGCTCGATCTGGTCAGTGCTTGAGGATTGGGAGAATGCACCCAGAACCAAACCTGCGATCGTCTTGCCAGCGCCACAAGGAGTGCTGTCGTTATGATTGCAATTCTCCTTCGGCATTGCTTCGCTTCGCTGGAGCGGAAGGGCGACTTGTACTACTAGTACAACTGTTTGGGCTTTCAAGCAGCTGCGTCGGACAGTGCCTCATGGCGATTCACCTGTCAAAGCGCCTATTTTGATACTTCAAAACCCTAATTCCAGGACTAGCCAAACAAAATCATACCAAACACAAACAGCATCAACAAACTTCTCTGAGGCCAGTTCTCTTCCTTAAGATTAACAACCATCAAAAAGAACTGTGGCCGGTATCACCAGCAACCAGTCTCTCTCTCTCTCTCTCAGCGCTCTCAGTTGAACCATGTTCAATCTCTTATGATGATGATCACATCACATCTACAAAAAAGTGTGGCAATCACATGCAATCACCACGCGTTTGTGGAGCTTTACACCAGTTTGGAATTCAACCACGCCCGACTCGGTTTCTGGAACCCTTGCGCCTCTGTTTGCTTGGACCTGGAGCAGAGGGACATATTTGAAGTGACTTCAAAGCTGTTGAATACAATACAAGGACAACAACAAACACAACATCTGCATACAACGCGTCATGCCCCCAAAAATATTTACTTGTTCCCTCTACATACTAATTAGATGGCCCCACCAACCACATGCCTAGCAACACTGCACATTTCATGCTGAGAGATGGAGTGAATGGTAAGCCCCGTACACAAAGATGTAATCCAGCGTTCCGACGAAGGGCTCCTCGTCCTGGAGCGGCCGGGGGTGAGGACTCCGAAGTGGCGAAACCATCGGAATCACCGTGGTGGACCGTGGATGATATTTGGATGGCATGGCCCCAACAGGAAGTGGTGAACTCCACTTCCAGGATTATTCAGAGGGAAAACTTGCAAAACCATGCTACAAAGCCGTTTGCATCCCGTTTGCAAAGGAACATCAATTGGTCGTCTGGTCCAGAACGTCTGTTCTACTTCCGTGATTCTGGATCATATGGATGTAACCAGAAAAGGAGTGTCAAAAAACGGCTAATGACCACCAAAATCGTTTGTATCCGCTAGTTAAAGCTTTCGAAGCCCTGACGTGAGTCCTTGTTCCATGCGTAGTTGGTGAAGGGAGGCTCACCCTGTGGATGCTTCTCAGCGTAGGCACTCCTGCTGTCAAGGGATGCGAAAGGCTGGTGGGCCACACTCTGCAGCAACATAGATGTCCATAATCAACCACATCTACTAAAGAAACACATGAGGCAGGTGTATGTCATAATAACTTCGCTGAAGGTGAGAGAACTGCAAACGGCCTCCCACTGTCCGCAATCCTGATATTATATCTTTCAAATGTAAGGATTTTGCCCATCAAAATCACCAAATGGGCTTGATCTTGGATTGGGATCGTGTGGAGTCCTGATATAAAATGGAATAACACTCGAATTTCTCAAGCTGCTGGGATCTGGTGGGTACATGCTTTGTAGAACTCTTCGGTTCCATATCCTCAAAGAACGCGGTTGACAGCACTGACAGCTCTGTGGTGCTTGTCGCTTGAACAAACCTCAACGGTCTCAGGGGCTCTGCTTCCAACCCGAAGAGTCTCAGATCTGACAAAGGTGTGTCACTGGCATGAGTCGTTCCCACCCCACAAAAGCCAAAGGCAACAACTCATGCGCTTCATCTGATTTTGGGAACATCAAACACATGCACTGCCTCGTTCGAGTCGAGTTTCTCACTGCCCTGTTTCCGGCGTTTGGAGTTGTAGATGGACCAGGTGGACACTATTGAGACAGATTCCTTTGTTTATGAGGTTTGAAACAAACATAGAACTGTTTCGTCTCCTCAACTGACATTCCTGCCATAGACTCCAACCCTCAGCTCGCTGCAACGTGGGGGTGATTTTCTTGGGGCGAATCTGGCCAGGATCGCGACCAATCGGGCCCGGTTGGAAGCGGTTGAAGTGGATCCACGAAAACTTGAGGCCGGAGGTTGGTGACGAAAGCTAGCACGGCCTTAAAACGATGTGGAATAAGAGGTGTGGATGCGCAGCATGATGTGAAAGGTTTCAAAACGGATGTTGTCAGAACTATTATGCTCCCAAATCTGACACGTTCAAGGGGGAGTTGAAGCCGCAGGGGAGGTCTAGCAGTGGATACTTCAGTGGGTAGCCAATTCCATCTCCCAGCCAATAACTTGCTAAAGCAAGAGTAACTCCAGCTAGCTGAAGCTGGCTTTCATGAAAAATTTGAAAGAACATCTGAAAATGCCTTTTGACCCTCGAGCACTCCATGATTTCGACCAGACGGCAGCTGAGATCAGGATCAGAATGGACTCTTTCCATGTGAAGCCCACGACCAAACGGTCGACGGAAGCGAAAGGCGGTCGACGGGGTCGACGACGGTCGACGGTCGACCCCTTTCTGGGTTTCCTTCCATCACCCTTGACCCAGCCCAGCCGACATCGAGCCCGTCTTGAAGCCGAAGCCGTTGGTCCGACCACGGCTATTGGACGCCCCAGTGATGTCCGTCTTGAGCCGAGCACTCCAGCAGGCTCATCTGCAAAAGCCGCCAGAAGCTGTACAGACTTTACAAGGCCGGCTCAAAGCTGTTTCTGACTGGATCACCTGAAAAGGATTGAAAAGGCCTGGTAGATGCTGGAAGAGCTGGGAAATGCTGGGAAGCTCTAAAGCTGTTTGAAGGTTACAATGAGGCCATGCTGCACCGCGAAATCCATCTCCGGGAACATCTCCTGGAGATCAGGCAACATCCCTCGCAGCCCTTGCAGGCAAGCTTCCCGAAGCTGGACTTCCAAGCTGTGCATCCAATACGAATTGAGCTGTGCCACAGCCATCAGGAGGATAACAACTCCGGTGAAAATGAAGAACACCCCAGAATAAACCTGCGTGCGCAAATCCAAAGGCAAGTCGCTAAGGAGGCAACAGGTCAAGATGAGAGCGCTCACGAGTACACCGGCCGTGAAGTTGAAACACCAGCGCACCTTTGTTGCACGCTCCTGGAGCCTGGTTTCTGCTTCTTGCACTTCTCTTGATGCAAAAATTCGATTCATCTGACCCAGGACCACTTTCCACGAGTCATTCGCGTTTCTCCACTCGTCACTGTTGCTCCTCCATGCTTTAGGAAGCGTCTTGCTCTGCTCACTCACTTCCAGCCTTCGAGCAATCGGTGGCCAGCAATCCGTTTTGAATCTGAAGCAAATTCGGTGTGTCTTCAATTCTGCTTCTCCTGCACCGATCTTTTCAGGATTCGCCTTAATGCAATCGAGCATGTTCCGCAAATGACCTATACACTGGTGCGGCACTGTGCGGAGGCTTCTAGGCCAAAGAACTGCAGGGCTTTGCATCAACTGAATTGCGATGAACGTATCCTGACTGGTTTGTTTGCAGGCACTGATGTAGAGAGGGTCGAACTGGAAAGGGTTTCATGGCCCCTCTGGGCTTCGGAAAGTGGAGGGAGAGCATGAACAGATGAATTGTGGCAACAAAAAAGCATAGCAATACCTGAAGTATATCCAACATGATCCAAAAGCTTTATTCCCAATAACTCTCTCCTGTCGCCTTAGGAAGAAATGACTGACTAACGTTCGATCGATGATCAATGGCCCAGGAAGTGGGTATGTCTCGTTTCTGTTGCACCACAGAAATTAGACCTAAACAATAACACCAGCTAAACGTCATGGGATAAGTAGATGACCACACATGACCACGCAATTGGATGAAGATGGCTTCATCCATTGCTGGAGGCCTTCATCGCTTTTTTGGACCCACAAAGGCTTGGCAGTCCAAGTTGTGGCTCCCGGCTTCCACATCGACAGGACGATGCTCATGGTCCTGGCACGAGGTAAACACATACTCACTAGCACTTTGCAGTTATGTATACACACTGATCGATATACAGTTCTGGACTCATAAACACAATCTCCTGCAGTGTCTTACCATTGTATCCTACTTCTGAGAATCATCGACCTTCAGCATCCTTCAATCTACTCTGGACCATCCGTGCACCGTCTATGTGCTAGCGGGGGCTTAAGCGGCCCCTACTTTCTATGAATTTTCTGTACATGTTGCATGCTGTCAGGTCCCACACTAATAGCTTTACTTGTTAAACACGTAAATTATTGCTTCTTCAAAACAATCGAAGGGTTTCGCTGTTTTGGGTGGGTGGGTGGGTGGGTGGGGGCAGTAACGTTCGTTGGACTGACGACAAACGTTTCGCCTTTTTGGTTCGAATGTCGGAGGATGGCCACCTGGGTTTGTCTCTTGTGTTGGTTTTGCTCATGCGTTTGTCTGGTCATACATTAGTCTTCTCGTTTAAGAACCACCCAGTCTTGGCCCCTTTCTTTCTTGTGGATGCGTATCTAGAATCTAGACTCTTTGATAGACGTGTTGCGAAACACATATGGCATGTAACCATGCTGCAGGGATTTTTGTCAATTCCAATGGCGATACGTGCAAAAAAAAGGAACTTGTTCAAAAGAGCAGGGCAATGCCAAAATGTTCAGATGACCAACGTCGTGTGGCGAGCGAAGAAACACAGCTGATGCCCCCAATCCAACATGTCAAAGCTTCGGCACTCAAAACACAGGTTTCGAGCGTTTTCACTTCATAAATGAAGCAAAGAATGACAGCAGACTGAACTCCAAAATGAATGGGCTGCGCAGTGTTCTTGTATTTTTTCAAAGAAAAGAGGGGCCAGTTAAGCCCCCGCAGGGATGTTTGTTTGGGAAAAAAAACACTAAACAATTACCCACCCTAAGGAAAAGCAAATGTCGTTCAAAGGCTTTAGCCCTACACACACAAAGAGGCTGTAACCAACAAAAAACTGCCCAAATAAAAGACCCGCGATTTGATCGTTCCTTGCCTGGGTCTTGGTGCAAACTACAAGAATATCGATCACAAGGCATTAATTAGATGGACTATGATTGACAACCATTAGGTTCGTCGCCAACCAAAGATGGTAGAAATGCTGGCGACGAAGCCCAAGCACTCCACCCAGTCCACCCCCCAAATCTCCAATTCTTCACACTTGGCCAAACAGGACCTAGACACCACACTGTCCCACACCACACCCGTCCCAAAGAGAAGGACCTCTTTGAGCTTCCCAGTGGTGAGCAGCTCGTAAGGTGCGGAGCCGGGCCTCAGATCTCAAATGTCTCAAATCCAAATGTTCCTGCTGCTGTTCCTGCTATTTGTTGTACTGCACATCACACACCGTTTCAACATGTTGAAAAAGATACCCGTTGAATAGGTCTAGGTCCTGAAGTGTTTTCATTTTATAAGGACTTGGGCTTCAAAATGAAAACCCGACCATTTTATATAATGCAATGCGACAGAAATGAGAGACCATCACAACAAAAAACTGCACACACACACACACACTTTTTATGGAATGGACTTCCACAGAGCTTCGATCTTGAACAACCGAACATGTTCAATCTTTTTTTGAGTTGTCTTCCAACATCTCATCATCCACTTTGGGACAGACTCAAAAATCCTCTGTGCGGACAAGTCTGTGATTCTAACTTTTGTAAACTTGCGATCACTTTCATGATCGGCCTCTGGTTACCTATGCTGGACCTTTTGATTACTTGTTTACCCGCAGATTTGCTAGTCTTTGGCAGGGTGAAAGCTTATAACATGTTCCCTGCCAAGGCCCATTGTATTTGTCTACACCCTCCCCACAAAAACCCATTTTACAAACCCAAAACCCCTTCCCCCGCCAAGGCCCATCATATTTGTCCACACCCTCCCCACAATATTGCTTGTTTATAAAATGGTCAACTGACATCCAGCTTTCTCTATGATCAACATCCTCTAATATAAAATGTTTACATCTGACAGACCGACCCTTTTATATAATGCATTTCCACAGAAAGTCTCCTTGTTTTGTGTGTTTTTGTCTTTTGACAGAATGTCAAAAGGGCTGGAAAAGTCATTTTGTAAAGGACAAACCTCCCCATTTCATAATGAGCTAGTTATCGGGTATGTTTGCACAGGATCATTAGGTCAACTCAAATCCAACCCAAGCCTTTCACGACGCCCTTCTTCTCGTCTTTCCGAACAGATCGATGGTCCTGTTCACCGGGTTCCCCCATGTTTGGGCATGGAAAACGGCTCGGTGTCCCACCGTGTCACACTCGTGGGAACAAGTGATCGCTAGTAGCGATGGCCTCCAACCGAGTAGCAAGAAGCTAGTAACAAGGTCATTTTACCATCCCTGCCGGGGCTCTGGGCCGGAAGTTGAAGTCGCCTGCCAAGACCAATGGCAAGTCTCCAGCAAACCTGGTCAGTGACTGTGTCAGGCCCTCACATAGCCATGTGAGTGCTGCAAATCATTCAAAACTTGTCAGGCTCAGAAACAGCCTGGTAGTGGCTACGGCTAGAACATGCTACTGGAGGACCTGAGTGCTCGATCTTCATGATCAGTGCCAGGCGGACAGTGTTCGATATTCCTTGGGGATCCTTGGGACTCCTTCGATGCACTCACGACGTGCAAGTTCCATGGAGAGCAATAGGATGGAATGAAGAGGACCTCTCCAGCACATTCTTCACAACTTGGTTGTAGATTTTTTCACATTTCGGAAGGAGTCTAAATCTGAGTGCAGATTTCGTGGCAGGCGCAGCACTTTGTGAACCTCGAAGTGCAGAGTTCGTGGCAAAGTCTGGAATCCTGTCATTGTGAATCCACGAAGCGGCGAGCCCTCGTGAAGCTTCGACACATCACATTGAGATCATAGACTCATCATAAACGAATACCCCACGGCCTAAGTAAGTTAGTAGTTGTTCTAAGTTTACTAGATGTTTCTTGGTGCTTGTAAGGCGCGTTCATGACGGAAGTCTGTCTTGAGAACAGCCTGGCAGGTTCCCCACCACGACCGGTCCGACTGGGGGCCCAGCTCGAAAGCACACTTTGCACAAATGGACGCGTGAATCACCATCACCTGAGGCCAGTCATCACATGTCATCACCATCTGGATCGGCTCCAACAATTCCGAGAACATCTCCAATGGCACTTCCAGGTGGTTTGGCCACTCAAAAGAACTGTGCGACACAGGGTCCGGCGACACAGGGACAGATTTGAATGGAATTCGCTGGGATTTCGTGAGCCCAACGAACAGTTCACACGACCACACGCGGGGTCGAATGGGCACCTGCAGGGTCGAATGGGCACCGTATGCTTCATGTATACTAATACTACCTGCTTCCTCCAATGAACCGCTACAACAAGAAGGATCATGTAGCGATCATGTAGCGATCCATGCCTTTCTTGAAGCTGCTCCGGCATGTATCTGAGGCTTGTTCCTTCATGTGCTCGTATGCACAAGGCATGTGGTAGGTACACACCTCAGTTGGAAGTTCACAATGGAAGGAGCCAGGAAAGGAGGCCCAAAGGTCATGAGTCATGAGATGTCATGAGATGTCATGAGACTTGTCATGAGCAATCTAGAAGGTACCTGGATCTTCCCAGTGACCTTTTGATCCCCTGGTTTGAGGTAAAAGGTCACTTAGGGACTCCAGGTCACTGGGAAGGTCCTCACGGCCTTGACAAACATGACCCGTGGGTGTGATGACCGGCGTCCGACCGTCCGCTGCGGAGTATCTGAGCCTCTTAACCAATCAGCACCTCACCAAGACCCAGTGTGAAATGTTTCTTCAAATTTCACTTCATTACAGTCATTACATATTTAAAAACTAAGTTGTTAAATCAAATACACTCTTAGAACTGCATGCTTTATAGGTCCGGCCCACGCATTTCAGAAAGGAACGGCCCTTTGGAGGAAAAGCTTTGCCCGGCTCCGAAAGCAACGTTGGGCAGGTGGAAAGCGAATCCTTCAGAAGTTGCTACGTGAGGTGCAAAGAGGAGGAGGACTCCAACACTGTAAACAGATTTGTCAGACGCAAAAAGGATGCCGGATGATGCCGGTGTTTTTCCCCTTTTAGCGGTCTTCACCATTCAACTGTGACTTGGGGATGAAAGAAAGAATGCCTGAGGCTCAGGTCGCCTGCTTCCAAACCTTGTAAAAACACGGGAACCCATCGAGATATTCGTTGAGTTCAGACCATTTTGGGCACCATTTTCAGAGCCTGCTTGTTTCATTTGGTTTCCCTAGCGCCGCCTGGTGCCCTGTTGCCATCACTTGAGGCACCAACCACGAACTCTTTGTCAAAGCCTCGATGCCTGCACCAGCTGGATCTGCTACACTAGTGTAGTGGCTGGGCAGCTTGGCTTAGCACTTCTGCCACTTGGTCTTGTGTCCAAAGCGATGATTAAGGTGCCCCCAAATGTGATTCTTCCTCTGGTTGATATGACCACTATGACCCACTTCGATCATGGATAGAGGAAAGAAGCAAACTCCTTGCTGGCACAACATGACCTTTTGAGGGGTTAGAGGACATAAAAAGAAACCTTAGGGGTTTTTCAGTGACCGAACCACCCGGGTTCTCGGTCACTTCGCCAGTCGCCAGGTACATGCGCGTGCGACTCCACCCGCGTACGACTCCACTGGCCGCCGCCGCTCTGTCCGTGAGTTCGTCTCTTTTCCAGTCAAACTGGCACCACGGAGTTGTAGTGTTCTCCCAAAGCGTAGTAGTGACCTCAGAGCAAGACTCGGCCACTGCGAACTGATCGCTCCAACGAAGAAAGCTTGGCAGCGAGACTGGCTGTCCACGAGTTACCTTATGGAAATCATGAAGCTTCCGATACATTATACGTAGCCAATCATAGCAAGCCAGTGTTCAGCACACCAAAACAAAAGACATCAAAAGACTCAAGCTCAACCAACTCTAAGGAGTCCAAAATACGACTTGCTGGCAACAAACAAGAAGAAACATTGGAACACAATATTGTATTGGCATCCAATGACGCGACCCAACTGACCTTAAGCCGCACTTCTTCACGCGTGTTGACACCAATTCAACTTCTTGCCCAGCCATGCCCAGCCACGATGGAAGCTCACTTGCAATGGCGCTCCGCCTGCTGGCGTCGCTCCCAGGACCAATGGCCGATCGGCGCCCGCTTGGTACACGTGCACCCGCACCTGCGAGTGGCAGATTCCCCGCTGCGATCTGCGGCGAACCCCAAATGGGATCCGTTCAGTTGGCTACTTTCTTGGGTGGAAACACATCACACAACTTGGATATAAAGACCAGTCAACCAACACCCATGTGGCCCTTCAAACCCTTAAAACCCATCGAATCACTTGGAAAATGTCGGTGGTCGAACTTTCCCGGAGGAGGCATCATCAAGGAGATCGTTTCAATGTCCTACATTTTGCAACTGCAGGTGAGACTCCCTGACTCTCTGAAACCTGCCTTGGCTGCTTCCCTTTCTGTTTGAAGGGATGTTGAAAGAACCAAACTGACCAAACTACTTGTTTTCATTGTTTTCTCGACGTATTCATTTCCGACCAAACACCACAGCAACACGGACGCTGTGTCCGCTTTCTCCGTCTATGGTCCTCGGGCGTCCGTCGGGCTGTCCGCGGGCGAACGCAGACCTGGGCACTTTGGCCCTGAGAGCCATTAAACTATGTATATCATGATATCCCTAGAAGTTGAGTGAACAGCATTTGCACTCCAGCGAACAGAAAGAACGTTCCCTTGAAACCGGTACTTTTCAATGCAATTCTATTTCATAGTCTTTGACTTTCAGGGATATCTTAGTTCTTTTTGTTAACGCTTCCAGCAGCTGTATGGTCTAGCCACTAGCCTAGAATGATATCTTAGAGCAAAATGCAAAGGCTGCAGCTGCAGCCAGCATTTCGATTGGACTTTTGCTCTGACTTGCCTATCTTTCGAAAGCTCTGCTCTCGATTTTCTCGCTGAGCGGAGGATGACGGAACATGCTCAGCCTTGTCGTCAACCAGCTGATCTTCAAGCTGTTCATCTCTGTCTGCTACCTTCTCGTCCTTCAATTCCGCCCCATCTTCGGGCTCCCACTTTCCCAGGTCTTCTACATCGGCAACAGGCTGGAGTTCAGTGTAGCCAAGTGGGTGTTCTTTCCAGAAGGGCTGGTAGCTGCAAAGCTGCTGCAGAATTAACAAGGCAGAGACCGCAGCAGAGATGAACGGCGCCATGCTCTTGGTCCAGATCATCAGAGATACCTGGACAAGGGGTCACAAGGGTTCAATAGTTCTGTGAGGTATATTCAATTACATTGGTTTGGAGTTTGGTCTATCCTATTACCAGTAACAGTGGATGATGATGGTTACCAAAGGCCTTGTTCAAAATTAGAGATAATTGTCTACTGACTGTTACAAACAATAGGACAGAACCAAGGTATAGGATGGTATAGGTATATAGGGCTATGAGGATTTTGCTGGTTTGCAAACTGCTGCTACTCTTGTGGCCAAATCTCAATTGTTTCACTGAAACTTTGCTGGCCTGAATCACGAGCTGTGGAAGATTCTCCAGAAGGCAACGGTTGAGCACCACTTTGTTGCTTTCTGCTGGCAAAGCTATGGGGGATCGTCCTAACAACAGCTGATCCCAATTACTTGAAGGCACCACCTGCATCGCGAGGGAAATGAAAAAAAGCATTGCCATCGGGGCTGCAAAGGGATAACCCATATGGATAGCCAACACCACGCTGACAACGTCCAAGTATTGGTTCCCACACCAAAGCAATTGAACATTAAATTGGTAAATCTCTGCCGCCAGGGTCCTTTGACACCCGTAAACAGGAACCTTCCACTCTGCAATGGCTTTCAGAGCCTCATCCTTGCTGGATTCCTTTGGGATCAACTGGTAAGGCACGGCAAGCCCCTGACATGACAAGTACAACAAGTGCACCATCCATGGCAAACCATCCGTGGGTGACACAAGGCATAGGGAGAGACAAAGGAATGGCACCAGAAGAGCAAATGGAAGTTGACCTTGGATTTGCTGATTCGGAACTGCGAACCAAAACATCTTCCCGAACTTCACCCAGTTCGGGATACAAACCAAATCACCCCAAAACCACCCAAACCAAGTGACTGTGACTGGCCACCATTGCGACCCTCCACTCTTCAGTGACCGTGGTCTCCGAAGCAAGGCTTGACAGGTGATATTTGAACTGGACCATGCACGCGGCGTAAATGAGGATGAACGCGACATAGTAGTAAAATTCTAAGGCCAGTGGCTGTGGCAGCTCAACTGGCGGGTGACATCTGTAAAAGCTCTGGTTGTCCCAGAATTCAAAGTAGAGTGCAATCATCCAAACACTGACAAAAGCGATAAGAAAAAGCCCCAGCGTCGAGCAAACATAATAGGGCATGTCATGAGGACATCGATAGCAGCCGTAGCAGCAAATGGCACCAAGCCCCAGTGTGCACACCACTTCCATGGCGAGTGCAAAGCATTAAGAAAAAGCTCTATGTGTTTCAGCGGACCTTGAGCCCTCAGCTTTCAAAGTAGATATTCGGTAGAAATATCCAGCAGAAACCAGTCAACCACCTTGAGCCCAGTTGTTTCAGGGTGCGCTCCTTTTGGACCCAAAACACTTTATGAAGCCAAAGACCTTGACACCAAGGGACGTGAACATCGACGAGCCTTCAAGGCATCGGCCAAGGCTCGCAATTCCTCCGTGGCCGCCCACGAACGGACGAAGGAATTGGATCCGAGCCACCCTCCAAAGTGATCACTAATTGTGTGTGTGTGTGTTTGTTTTTGTTTTTTTTTTTTTTAAACGAACGTGATTTGCTGAAAGTTGAACTTTTGTTTGCTGAACGTTGACATGATACATGCTTACTCAAGTTCATTGCGCACAATGTGCTTCCCGCAAACGAAAACTGATCTATTTGAGAAGGGGCAAAGGGGTATAGGCTTCTCATGAGAAAAAGGTTGTATCAACGGTTTCATCTGAAAAGAAAAAACATCAAACCCATATCAAACAATACACACCCTGGAAGACTAACATGGACCCTGAAAACCACTGGTTGGTAGCGGACAACCATCCACTTGCCTGAGATTGAGTGTTGTGCCTCCAAACGTCAGATTTGGAGTGAGTATGTATGGCAGCATATGGCAACTCTGCCATCCCCCACCACGAACCAAACAAAGTAAGACTTCAGGAAAACCAAAACAAATCATTGGCCTTCCATCTCAGCAACTCAGGTCTTTTGCAACCATTTTGGGCAAAATCACGTTACCAAATTGTTACTAAGGGGCCAACTCGCCACCCCAATCTGCTGACAGCTCCACTCTGCGGCAGTAGCCATCGAAGTCTTCACCCTCCTCTCCGAAATGGATGCGGCTGGATGCGAATGGTCGGATGCCGCTGGCCCGTTCCATTGTTGGGTGCCAATTAAAGCGTTTCAGTCAAATTTGTGGCTGTTTCAGCATCATAAAGCATCAACCACTCGATCTTCAATGTGGCCTGTTGACACGGGAAAGCTCTTAATTATTCTGAACGATGTTTCGCAGTAAAAAGTCTTCTCACCCGAAGTCTTGGCTGTCCTTGAGCTCAGCAAAGGGAGCGTAGTTCTCCACGTCACTCTTGAGGGACTTGGCACAGATTCTGCGCACCTGCGGTGTTCGACGTTGGTCCCTTGACACTTGTCGCAGCGGCTGCCCTCAGCCCAAAGACTCGTTGGTGTACATCGTACGAAAGGTAATGTTTCTGCCGTCAAGGTTGACCCGAACTCACTTTCATCCATCAAGGCTGTGTCGGATGCCATGGTTCGGAGGATTCCACACGATCTTCCTTTACTATCTTTACTGATCTTGAGAGTTCCTGGCTCCTCTGCTTCGCTACAGATCTGGCATGATCTGGCTACAGCAAGCTCCTCCCCTTTTTTGCCCCTCACCCAGTCTAAATGACCAAACGTGTATCAGCCGCTTTGCGTAGAACGATTCCTCAGGAGAAACCTTGTGGTGGGATGCCACAAGGTGGATTCTTGCCGGCCGTCCAAAACGAATACGACTCGTTTGAACCTCAAGCAATGGAACAATCATTTGTTTCCTCTTCCATCCTCTTCCTATAAATCACTGGAAACATGTGGAAACTCGATTCCATTATCAGTTCCCAACGAAGAACATCATGAAAAAACACAACATGAACATGAATGAAGCTGAGGGCCCTCCCACCCCGAGCGTCACCCCTTGCCCCGCCTCTTTGTACATGTCATCCGGCCGAGGCTCATCGAGCAGCTCAGGCCGAACACGGCGCAGTTGATCTGCAATGGACCGATAAAGGCAATGACCTCCAAGTCCGAAATGGAAATGGACATCGTTTTCGATCTAGGAAACATCAACGTGGATGTCCACATATGTCCAGTCCAATCGAAAATAAGAAAAGGCGGCTTCCATTTTTGGCATCAGGGGTGGGTGGGCTTTGAGCTCTTGAACGAAGAACCGGACTGCGAGAAGCCAACAAATCAAAATAAATCAAACGAAACAACACAAACCATTTCTTGAACATCTTCTTGGCCCCTAATCCCCTATATACCCGGCTGTACTGGGACCTAGGGATTTTATCCACCCAGTACGGTCCCCTTCTTGGGCCCATTTGGCTCCTATATGTTGTATGTCATGTCTCTCACATTCTGCTGAGTGTCCATCCGATGGGATCTCATGAACCTTCAGCGGCGGCTTCTGTTGCGTCAAGACACTCTGCAAGGCTTCCTCGTGCGCCGAACGCGACAGTTACAGGTTCGTGTTGCATCGTGTTGCATCAGAGATCCCGGGGGTTAACAGCAGACCTGTTTTGGATCATGAATTCTCCAATCTCCAATCCAAAGAATTCCTCTCGTCATCAGCGTCCTTCTCGGACAAAGAAGGATCCCATGATATCTGATCTCCCATGATCCATGATCTCCCCTTCTTAGGTTGGAGGCCATCGCTTTTGCCAGGCCACCAGTTCGATCTCTCGAGCAGAAGGTCCGGCCTTCGCTTTCACTCGCTCCGTTGCTCGGGCGCCCAGCGAAGGACCACGAATGCAGAATGCCATGGAATACCATGGATTTCATGCTACGGTACTCGCTTTCCGTGCTTTTCCCTCACCGGCTTCGTGTGTTTTGTATTTTCGTGAGCCCAGCCTCAAGCTTCTCTCTTTCTTTCTCAGCTTCTCTCTGCGCCTAAAGGGTCATGGCTCGTACTGGCTCGTACCATGTTTCTGGAAATCTTCATTCACACACCCTTTCTTCATCGCAGGTTCTGCATCGTTTCTCTGAATTTGCTTCGAACTTCGGTCACACCCGGCGGAACCGCCTCCTTATCGGCCTTCGCTTGTCGCTTCTTTTGGGCCTTCCTTACATAGGCCAAATGCTTTCTGAACTCATAGTGTGCTGATCCAGTAGTGGGCTGAAAACAAGCTGTGCTTTCAACACTTCCGGCAGAGGCTAGTCACTTACGTATCATGCTTCAATCAGATTTGCTGGTGAAACATGTGGATGTCACGACGATGAACACATCGAGCAACTCTTTCTTCCTTCGACCTTTCTCCTCTTCGTCCTCCGGATTCGCCTGGAAGGCGAGCCAGGTTGAACCAGTGCGAGCGTGTGAGCAGCTGTAGCCCTTAAGAGCCGGTTGCCCCAGTACCTGCCCCCCATGCTTGGTAGCCGTGCTTGTGGTTATCCAGCGGGTGGTGTGTAGGAAAGATCATGATCGGCAGTTTGGACCTTCTTGGGTTTAACATTGTTTTATATAACTTCCTGTGACCTCACAATTTGCGGTATTATATAACTACATCATTTCCTCCCACACTTCGAACCAACGTCATCACATCGCCTACGAGATGCTAACAATGCTACAATACCTTAGTAGCTTCAGAAGCATCATCAATGCGTCAAAACGCGCCAACATCGTGGTCCTTGGACTCTTCAACCTTCTCCCTCTCGTTTTCCTTTTCTTTGGGGCTGAGGAGCTCAGTCAATTCCTTGGTGCAGTAGGATGTCTGGAATCACTTGTCATCGAAGCCTTGGAAGCAAGAATGAACATCTAAGAATTCAGAAATTATGACTCGATGACTCACTTTTTGGCGATCCATCCTCAAATCCAAGCTTTGACGCAGAAGCAAACATAAACCAACTGAGACTGTAAAGTCTGAACCTCCAGCTTTCGGGCGGTCAAAACATGTCCAAACAATTCCTTCACTGTTTCTGTGAGGCTTTCCTTGGTTACATCCTTTCAAGAGTCCAACACCATTCCAGGTCGCATCGATTCTCCTTGTCTGGAAACACCATGTGCAATAGTCCTTATGTCCTCCTATGTCCTCCTATGTCCTCCTCCCCCGCTTGAGCCTCCACCTCTTCTTTCTGCTTCTCTTGCAACTCGTACATCCATTGTTCGACCTATACGTCGCAAGGCACATCCCATCTCATAAAATCTGGTTTCCTGTTGTTGAACCCAAAAAACTGTGTGAAACAGTCCAACATTACTTCCATGATGCAGGTGTTTGGCATGAACATTCTGAGACAAGGAAAGCTCCCTCCCCCAACTGCTACTTATCTTGCATTTCACCCAGTTTGATTAATTCAGCTATGCATGTGGTCATTAAAAAGGTTCCTGAATTTGTCTCAGAACCTTGCCCTCCAACTTCAATCTCTTGAGAAGAACATTGACATGTGAGCGCCTGAAAATTACGGCTTGCAAGTCGCTTGTCATGAATGACTCGTGAATGCTAAACAAGCCCTCTGTTTTGCCTCTCGATGTGCAGCTTCAATGAGCTGCTTGGCTTTCTTCCCCTTCCCGGCCTCAGTGCCAATGCAGATTGAGCTCTGGTCAAACACCCTCAGGCCGTTGAATGCTAGTCTTTTGGCGAGAAACCTTCTCTGTGACTTCTTCCATGTGTTTCCGGCCTCGCTCTTCCATCTCTTGCACTTCCTCAGAATGCATCGGCTTCAAGCACGGAGAATTGCCAGGCATAGATGGACAAACTTAAGGATTCAATAAATGAGGATTCAATTAGAACATAACAACTACTTGTCAATGGCACAAACCATGTGCAAGCGATGCAGTCGAACGCTGATCGATTGGTTAATATGTTTTCTCTAAAAGTCTAGGAACCAATGATTAGTGCGAGCGCTTCTTCAAGGATGCTCCCCTCTGCCGCCTTGGGGCGACCGGGTGAGCTTCCTTGAAGAAGCTCACGAGCTATCCTGCCTCCACATGTGGAAGCTAAGCCCTTACTGGATCATATACTTACATTCATTAAGTACTAGGGGGCAGTCCAGGGGCCAAACAAAACGAAAAAAACAACAGAAAGAAAATAACACACAAAGAAAAGGACAGAACAAAGACATGTCAAAGTCCCATCCGGTGGGTGTGTTCTTCCGATCCATTTCCCAGTTCCATGGCGGGCCCAAGCTCCAAAATGAGGGAGCGCCCCGGCATCGGTTCGCGTCCGATCGCTCCGAACCGTGAAATAGTCGCAATAAGAAAGGCCGGGTGTTCTGTTGATCTGAAAAAACACACCGCAACCTTCGATCCTCTTCAATCCTTAATCCATGGCCCATGGCATCTACTTGCCACACCGACATCCCTCGCCCTCTCTTGCTTCTGAAACACGCGCTCATGCCGCTCCTCGAGCTCTTCAAGGGTTTTCTCGGGCAGGTGCTCCATGGTGCGCCCAAGGCTCAAGGAATCTCAAGGATGCATTAGGTCATTAGGGGAAGCAACATGTCTTTGATTTGCCTTGGATTCATCCCAAAATGCCACTGCCCAAAAAATGCTTGAACAATGCGGATACATGGACAGCATGCCCTCCTTAGAGAGCGATTCTGTCCCAGGGATTCAATGCACTGAATGATGTCAACTTGAATGGCTGGTCGGGGTCGTGACGGTTTTGTGGCGATGTCTTTGCCGTCACTTGGTGTTTCATTGATTTCTGAAGGTCACTTGCTCACTTAGTGGCCAGCTGAGTTGGTGCAACTAATGCCACTCGTGAATGACCCCCCCCTCAGCTCATGATATCATCTTGAATGATCGTCTGATCTGTTAACCATGTCCAAACATACGAAAAACGCTACTGGATGTTCATCTGGTCCAGCTGATCGCCAGCTGATGCTGATTTTCTTCTCTTTCGCAGCTGCGGCGATTGCATCGATCCCATGGCCTTCATACCGCCGCTCGAGAGACGAGGCGCACGCCGTGGCGCGCCGGTGGCGACTCGTCCGTGGTGTGGCGACGCAGGAGTCGCCGGGTCGCCGCCTGAGCCGCAAAGAGATCATCTGGTTGCGACCTCATCTGGCGCGACTTCGGGCCACGGCAAATCCTCCCCCCAGCTAAGGGCTACGGATCGAGAGATGCCATGGCATCAAAGCATCAAACAAGCCAAATGTCACTTGGACCGGGTAGACAAGGTAGGCAGCTCACAAAGTGAGGATTCTGATCGATCCTATGTCTTTAATTGCAGTGTGTTAATTGGTTTAAGAAGGTTGAAGGGTTGGAACTGGGGTCCTCTACAGATCCACGCGAAGGGGGGAGCTGCGAGTTTGGAAGTTGAAGCCCCATGGAGCTCCCTCCCACTCACAGTCTCTCACAGCCCTCCCTTCGAGCTCCATCCCAATGGGGTGCCCGACGCCCTCGACTCAAGTTGAAGGCCTGCCAAATTCAATGCCACGACGCAGCATAGCCTTTTGAGTGGAGATTCCAAGGATTTTCATGTGATTTCATCACCCCAACTGCTGATTCTGCTTGCAAGTCGAGATGTTTTCGAGGATCTACGAAACAATTAAGGATGTTCAGGTTTTTGGAGAAAATGTGGAGGAACACATCTATATAAATATTATATCATATTTTATATTCTGAGTTGAGGCTATTCATGGAAAATATACACGAGTAGTCAGTAGTCACTGGTCTATCATCATAGTATATCATGGTCTATCTCTATGCTGAGTTTTGGATGTTAATTTGGCCTCCAGGACAAAACAAGCAGGCTTTGACAAAAATAGCACCCCCAAAACAGCTGGCCAAAGAGCGCAGCCGGCTCCCAATGGCTGAAGGCACTTCACTAGGCGATATCTGACGATGCCTCCGGTGCCACAGAACCCAGAAAACGATGCCCCCAAAGCACCACCCAACTCCGTGCGGATCAATGCAAAAGCACTCCACCTCATCTTTTTGATCTTCAGAATGAGGAATGGTCTCCAAAACCTTCAACCAGACGCACGGTGTGATCCGCCGAACGCTCCCAATGCCGAACGCCGGTGTGATCCGGTGTGATCCAGATGATTCAAGAGAACCATGGAGGATGTGTTGGGCCCGCACTTGAGATACTAGGGTGGAGGCCATCGCTAGTAAGTTGGAGGATATTACTAGTAACAAGAAGCTACTAGGAACAAAGAGCTAAACAAAGAATGTGCCTCAACGAGTCTTGCTCACCGGAAAGCAGGGAGGGGAGGGGGTGAAAAAGCGAACTTGATACCCCGTATACGTTGCCGGTGGAGCCTGATACCTGGTCCTCCAAGCCATACTTCTTGATGCACTCCCCCCCAAAAGCACAATTATTTAATTAAGTTTTGACTTCATGTACTCAACATTGGGACACACCCTCGACTCACTTTGCTTCTCCAGTTCTCTGAAGAGGGCCACTGCTTCCTTTGCTTTCCGGAATTCACCGGGCCGCACCCGTGAGATCCTGTGATTCCGCACATCAGCAACCTTCTGGATCTTCGCTTCTTCCAGGAGGAAGACCCTGGGAAAAAAGGCACAAGTCGGCGGTTTCTGCTGCTTTTCATCATCCATCCAGCTCACCTCCACCAGCTCATCTTAGCTCAGCCCAGCTAGCTACCCCACCATGGTGCGCCAGCTTTCGGGGACATGGACCCCAAAATACGGAAGGAATATCCAAGGCTTCTGTGCATCTGGAGGTGCAGCCACCTTTTTGCTACCCCTGTCATAGGCTTTGTGTCACAAAGAAACGTGGGAAGATGGAGGTGAATTGTTCCTAGTAGCGATGGCCGATGGCCTCCAATTAATAGCGATGGCCTCCACCGTGCGTAGCTTCTTGTTCCTAGTAGCAAATAAAGGTTGCATGAAACACTCTTCGGAAACCGGACGATCTGCAGACTGGGTGTCCCCAACTGTGATGGAAAGGCCACCGCGACTCCCATGTAGTCGTGTTTTGGAATTCCTGAAGTTCCACCCATGCTGTTCGATCAAGGGTTTCAAGCATCCAATGGCCCAAATGAGGGGGTGTGTTATGTGCAAGTGGGACTCCATGACAGTGCCACTCATGTTTCATGGTGAAACTCCACTGACCACTCATCTCCGGACTTTCGATGTTCTTCCTCTTGATCATGCGAAGACGTGATTTAACCACCACTTTTTGGAGAACCCTGCGCTCAAACGCTCTCGGGAAGGAAAACACACCGTGACATCCTTGGACGCATACTTCTTAGAAACTGGAAATGTGATCGAAATCCCGGAAACCCTTAGACTTCAAAAGCCTTCTCCACAACACATCGTCTGGCATTTTTGAGATCGGCCCAAGAGAAACGCATCGTCCCAGTTCTTCCCCAGTTCGCCACCGCCACGAACCAACGGTCCATAATTCGCCGTCACAAAGGTATATTGACCTGATGAGCCGATGATCCAAGCAAGGCAGGACAGTGGGACTGGATGAAGACTCTCCCTTCATGGGCAGAGTAGAAGAAGCCATCACATCTGTGCACTGACAATCCGTTTCAGAAAAAAAAAAGCCAACAACTGGTGAACATGACCCTTTGGAGCCATGTTTAGAGCTTCGGGCAGAGCTTGCAACTGTTCATGAACCAAACTGAGACTGGCAATTGGCTGTCTTTTTCTTTCAAGAAAGAGCTCCTCCTTCCGTTTCTGAAGGCCGGCAACCAAAAGGACATGGCGAGTGCATGAGACTTCAAGTTGGGCGTTTCCGTCTTCATCCAACTCCACCACCTGAGCCCCCAAAGATTCACCTGGCCCAGGAAGCCCAAAAATAAGAATGGACGGGGATTCTTAGCATCAAAACACTCATCAACCACATGTTTAACGGGGATCCTACAAAAGGAAAGCAGTTCAAAACAACATTCCCAGTAAGCAACGAACAAAGAGAAGGTTTAGGGAAAGGACAGCAGCAAAGCAACAGAAGGATCAAACAGAGCCCCCCCCGCATAGCAAGCCAAGACACAAAATCCACCTATACAAAAAAACACACACACAAACATAATAAAAGGATTGAAATTGGACACAGCAAAGGTGGGCCCCATCATCCACCCATCTGGACAATGAAAGGGTTAATATTTGGTGAAAATACGATGGGTGACCGGATGACCTTCAAAAAATGTTTTTGGGGCAGGCGCAATGCATTGGCAAAAGCAGGGGGAGGGTGCAGCGCTTCCCCCCAAAGCGAACCAAAAAGCAACAGTGATCACCGGAAACTACACGACACATTTCATTGGATCCATTGGCCCATGAATAAAGGGCATCCAGAAAGTGACAATAGGACCAAGGCAGCGGGGAGAGCGCAGCCTCTTCCACAGAAACCACAACTTGTTTGATGCTTTTGAGGCCAACAGACCAGGAAAATGACCAAGGGACCAAATGGATCCAAATGGACGAGGGAGCACGAGACCAGAAAGACCAGTAGACCAAAAGACCAGTATGACTAGGGGACCTCCTCAGGATTGCCTTTCTTGATCCTATTCTTTGACCTAGATGCCTTCCTCAGTGACTGCATGGCACATGTTTTGCAAATGTCCAATCTCAGCCAATTCCATTCCCAGACATCTCCCTCCCTCCACGCACTCCCTTCCACCAGGTTCTCCGAACGTTGATGGAAAAATGCGTGCAAACGGCCACACCAAACCAGCGAGAGCTCCTGGCGCAAATATGGGTGCGCTGCATTCGCGCGCTGCATTCGCGCCTTGTCGATCCATTGATCGTCCATTGTTTTGCTTCGTGCAACAGTTGTTCGAATGCACAGGGATTGGATGGCTTTGCAACCAACTCGGCCCTGTGGTACGGTAGCCAGGTTCCGGTTCCGCCAGTGCTCTCAAACATGCTTCCATATACTTCCGTTTCCCTCGGTGGTTTCAACCATCCACCCATCTGTCCATGTTCTAACTATAGAGACCCCTGTAGGTTAAAAAAACATATCCCAGACACTCCATGTATGCCATATATGCCTACATTGACCCCCCAAACCATCCCAATGTAGGCATATATGGTATACTGTACATGGAGTGTCTGGGTATGTTGAACATGTCAATCCTGGTCGGCAACATCCGAAGATGGGGCGGATGGCTCAAGTACTCTACGAGTCAAACGACAGGCACAAAATGGTATTTGCAGGATGCGAACATCGGCATTTCTGCAGTGAGAAAACCTTTGGTGAGAAACCGAACTCACAGCTTTTTCGGTCTGCTGTGCACCTGCAGGCACAAGATGGCATTTTGCTCTATCTTCTGCTCCAACTGTTCGAGGACCTCAGAGTGACTGCGATCTCAGGCCCGAGATTCCCGTTGCTCGGGACAAACCCTTCAGAGTCGGGGGACCATCGCCCAGCGACGGTCCTTGGTGCACCAAGCTCGCCCCACCCCATGCAACGGGCATACCCGGTGCGAACACTCCTTTTGAAAGGTGCCTGTGCATGCCCTGTTCCTTGGAATGCCACAAATTGCTCCATCAGGATGACGAAGAACATGATCCGTTTTCCCTTCGATCCTCATTGCACACATTGGACCCTTCCATATTCACCATCATTCACCATCCATCCCTCCCTTCGGCCCGATTCGCTGCGGGAGTGTGTCCCATCGCCGTCACCGCGGGACACCGGCTCCCCTCGGGTGTCACGGCGAGCTCTGAGACGCCCCACGCGAGCGAAGCGCGTTTCGTTCTCCAAGTCCTCGCAGCGAAGGCGCGTCCGGAACAGCTGGTCAGGTTCGAATTTGGCATGGTCAGAAAGAATGTGAAATGATCACACCATGTACTCTAACATGCCACCATCATTATTACATGCACGTTGCACTTCCTCAAACATGCCAATTCCAGGACCGGAACCCTGCATGTGAAGTTTGTGTGTATATAACAATTGCGGATCGAAGAGGAATAATAGCAAATGAGAGAAGGAGGCGGGCGGACGACGGGACGCAAGTAAAAGTATAAGAATCTCACAGAAAAAGGCGGAAAAAAGGAGGTAGCAAGCTACTAGTAACAAGTGCATCGCTAGTAGTAACAAGTGCCTTACTAGTAGTAACAAGAAGCTAGTAGAAACAAGTGCCTTACTACTAGTAACAATAAGACTTTCGATGTCCTTGTGGTTGGTATGCCGGAAATTCTCTGGGTTGCACAGCTCCGGGCAAAGTATGTTCCAAGACGCCACCGTGACCTGCAACAGCACAACAGCGGAACAGGGCCATCAAGGCCTTTGTGTGTATATACCGGAGGACCTACCGGAGGACCCTTGTGTATAAGATTCGTATTGGAATGGAGTGAATAAGGGTAGCGTCAAAGGATTGCCAATGTTCTTTCTGGTGCCATCATTATGCCCGACCTCAACATTGGAAGGCCAAACAAATGCAGTGAACCTCCTTTGTGAAGACCGTTACATCGCGATGAAAGGCGCGATCCCACATCCGCTATAGGAATTGACAACAAATAAGAGCCAGAAGCTGCAACCAGGCAAATCCAGGAAATCTCAAACCCCAGGCAGAGTCAAGAACTTTAAGTGACAATCCAGTGTGCTTTTAATGTGCTTTTGAAAGGGATTTCAAGTGCTCCACCTTGCTCCACCCCTTGGGCAAATGGATACCCAAGCTCACCCAACCTGCCCTCAAAAACCAACTTCATGAAGATCCAGGGACAATTGAAATATCAATCGCTGAAAAAACACAATAGGAACCACACATCCCAGAATCTGCTGGCAACGCAAACGACATGACTTGGAAGTTAACGACATGACTGCTCTGCCCAACTTTCAAGCCTGCCTCCTGGACTTGGGACAAACTTTGGACTTTGATGGTTGAACAAGCCTCAAAGAAAACCAAATAGATTGATATTGTGATGTTATTGTGATACATTGATAATGTATATATGGAAATATCAATATCACTCTTGTATATCGTCTACCAAAACCCATCGAACAGATTGTCAAGGAAGCCATTTGGGTCGTTCAAACAGTGAGGTCTACCTTCAACACGGCCTGGGCGCGGGCCTCCGAGGTAAAGTTCGGCGGCAACGCCTCACCTCGTCCAAGTCTGCAACTCTCAGTTCTCTTGGAACTCCGAACCCAACTTTTTAAACAAGTTAACATAGTTGACATCATTCATGTCTTAAGAGAGAACCCTGGCCCAAAGCCTTTCATGTTTCGATCTTGTACCATTGAATTTGACCTTTTTGCGCAGAACACACCCAGGGGCTTCACCCGTCACGTCTCAGCTTCCAGCGACCCGGATCAAACCGCGCGTTGGGAGAATGATTGGTGCCGTTCCGCACCTCGGTCTCGGTTTTGTTCGGATGCCGTGGAGGGATGCCGATGTTTTAGGCAGCTGCGGGTCGAGGTCTTCTTCTTTTGGTGAGGTCTTTCTTTTTCTGTTCCTCGGAAGGACTTCGGTCCAAGCACGAGTCTAGTCGGTCCAGTCGACCGGTCGACAGGTCGTGGAGAGAGTGCCGCGCACGGTTGCTACAAATCAGGATTCCAAATCGACAAAGCAGATACTGCAAGATGCTACAAAAGCATACCAAGAATTGGCAAAACAAAGCTGTGGCCCCCATACTGCGGGGTTGGCAAAAAGGATTCGACCTGCAATGCCAGCGTGGGGTCAGGAAGAGCCGATTCTTCGTCTCTTTGAATCGCACATGGGTGGGTCTGAGGTCTTGGAAGCCTCCATTAATCCATGACTGATCAGGCTCAGTTTAATCAAGGTGCTATTGTGTTACTCATCTGTCCAAATTTGCCAATCTACTGGAGTGGATCACCATATCTTTGGATACTTAGACCAATCTCTCAAGAGCCGTTCTATATTTACGGCAGATGGATGTGCCTCCAAACTGGCAAGCCAAAGCTCTTTTGTCTCTTTGCACCTGCAACCTTTAAGTACCTCTGTTGTGAAGGGACCCTCAATGGTTACGAAACATCTTGTTGCTCCAATTAAATCGGATGCCCCCAAGCTCTGCTGGAGCAATTTGAACCCTAAGAAGCACAAAGTGTGGGCTCCCAGCTACAAGTACTTAAATTTACATCCATCATCCTACACAAATTCTACATTAAGACATTCAATAGGACACCCCCCTGGCTTCACGATGATTGGATGTTCTGCTCTAAAAATTCTTGGCCACAACTGGCTGCAGCAGTAGCACAGCTACGCATCGCTACGCCTGCCCAGCGTCGCTCTCTCGGTGGCCTCGTCTCCGCCGCCGTTGAACTCGCCGGCCCTGGCGGTCCACTGACGGTCCATGAAGGTCCTGTTGACATAGGAATCACCTTTGGTTGACTCACATCCGGTTGCTCTTTTGAGCTGGTGTTGTCCGTCTCACCTCCAAACTGGCCATTATCGAAAAGACTTTGCTTTCTTGACATCCATCCAGCTTTCACCATTGCCACAGCCATCCATAGCCCAAACCACCGCCACTGCCACACAAGAACCGCCTGCCCTGCCTGCGTGAGCGTGAGCAAGCACCTGACGAGTTCTTCGCCGACGTCTCACGAGCCCCCCCCAAATCCAAACATCTCTCACGTCCAATCCGAACCCTAGCAGGCGATGGCCTGATGCGTCTCCAGCCTCCACCCTAGTAGCAATGGCCTGAACCCAATGGCCTCCACGACAGTTTGGAAGCAAATGCAGCTTCCCACCTCAATGGCACAAGCGCTAGGCCACCACAAGCCACGCCTGCGCACAAACGAAGCATGAAAAAGGCCTGTCGATGGAGTGTAGCTTGCACATGCTATCAAACCAATTCATCCAATTGAGTCATGAAGCCAGTCAACCAAATTGGCGTCATTGACGGGGGTCTTGAGAAGACACTTCACTCAACCAAGTTGGTGATGTTGAACAATTTCTTTCACATTTCCTTTCCAAGTTGGTGGGTCACTGGTTGCGTCTTCACTTCGACAAGTTGATGATGTTGAAGTGTCTTCCCTCCCCAGACACTCCATGGAACTGCCATCTATGCCCCAAAAATGGGGTGGTGGACTGGGAGTCAATTGCTCGGCATGGCAGTCCCAGACGGGTCCTGTGTGGGCTCTCCCCCCGATCGACCCGTCCACCGCACCTGCCAGTCCACCGGATCGCCCGATGGACGGAGCTCGGAACCCCGAGGTGCCTGCCGACGGTCGCGTCATGCGTCATGGGGGGGTGGAACGCCTCCGGCATTTGGGGTGAACAACACAAAGTGCTCCAACCTAATATTTTAATACGGGGGACCTCCATGGACCTCCCAACCCATGGGTTTCGGATGGTTTTGGTCTAATTTCTCTTTCAAGAGGTCTTTAGGAGGCCTCCCTGTTTTAATACACACCCATGCTGAAGATCATTCACCGAAGCTTCAACCTACCTCCAGACTCGGTCGCGCGGCTCCCGCGACCCGAAATCAACCGCTTCGGCCTCCCGAGGAAGAGACGAGTTGCGTCCCGAAGGAAGACACGACCTGCTCGGTCGAAGCGAGTTCGGTCGAACCGAGTGGGGTCGACCAAGTGGTCGTCCTGCAAGCCACGTGAGGCGATGGTCATGACGGGTGGTGCTTAGACCCCCACAACGACCTCAACGACCTGCAGATGTTCACCGCGGCCACCAAACCGGCCGACGCCGCAAGACACCAGGACCCAAATACGGGAGCGACGTCGTCGCGAGCGACCGTCGTGTCGGCTCCGGGGTCTTCGCCCCTGACCGAGCGCCGGACGACCGGCACGTCATTGATCATGCCACCATCAGGCCGCTCAGGACGCTCAGGACGCTGCTTGAAGCGACGAGAATCGTCGTTGGTCGTTGGTTCCGCACGGTGTCTGGTCGGACGGTCTCGTCCGTCGGTTGGCTGGTCTTTGGGTTCGCTTCTCCGGTTCATCGTTTGGGCGATGGATGGAACTTGTTGTGGGGTTTACGAAAAGACCATAGAAACTCTTTGGGCCAGTGTTCCGAGGCCCAAATGACTGACTCAAGAAGAGTCCTGACACATGCTCTAAGACTCTAGAAGCACGGACGTTATTAGTAGCTGTTTGCTACTATTTAATAGTAATGTGTCTTGACCTGTCTTGTCTATTCTTGTCTCTTCACATTTTTTCAGCGGAAGCACAATCATGCTTTTTAAACCCAGGATGAGAGGCAGTGCTGACAAAAAGACTCTCAACAACATGTCCTGCAGTCTGAAGAACTTTGTGAAGAAGGTGTGGGATTCTGATGAATTCTGCATACCCTGAATCTTGTTACAATAATGTCAGGAATGTCCATGTTCTTGGTATTCTTTCTTTTGGTCCATGTGACAAGCATGCGGAGCATCATTCAATTGTTCTCTGGCGGCGGGTGGTGGAAAGCAGGACGATGCCTAGCCAACAAATAATGCATGACATTGTTCCCTTACTTAAAAGGATTTTGTTCTGTTTCACATGTTAAATTGCAAGCAAACTACAACTGACGGAAGAGGAAGCCTCATGCTCCCAATCCATGTTTGAGGGGTAAGGAACAAAGTATGAGCCTTTCTCGATGCATTGTTATGCTTTATGTAACACGGAAATCAAAGGAAATCACCATGAGGCCTGACCAAAATCGTTCTCTCTCTGTTCCCGTACTACAGAAAGTTGGGCACATTTAGGACACCTACCTCTGTGATCTCTGTGTTCTTCATTCAAAGTGATAAAATCAGCCGGACTCTGACTCGTTTCCGCCTCCACTCTGACGAGTCTTCCGACGACGAGTCACTTGGTGTCCGGCACCCGGCGGCACATAGGAGAAATCCCCACAAGGGCATCCCGCGTGTTTACACCTGGCGAGGCCACGCGTCAAAAACGGGAACGGGGTTGACCCAAGGGTCGACCCTCCGGAAGACACCTCCAGTGACCCGTTTTTGGGGGTCACTGATGGGTGTAGTGATGGGTGGTGTCTTGGGTGGATGGTGTCACGCGCTGTTTTGCACTCTGTGATGAGGTCAAAGATCTTTGACTCGAACCTCCAAGAGTCTCACAATGGGCGCTTCGCCCCCTTGGGGGGCGAAGCACGGCCTCTATCATCGCTGATAGACTGCTGAGAGATGTCTTGAGCACTAAGGATCTGCCTTTCTCTGGTTGTTCAAGCCTTAGGACGTTCTGAATCATGCAGAATCACCACTTCAAAGCACATTCACCGATGCCCACTGTGGCTTCTCTGTTTGTAACCATTTTCGACTGGTCAGGAGCCACTTTCGACTCATCTTCCCCTCTCAGTCGCGCATCTGTCCGCTGGTCGATCATCTCACCTTCGAGAAACGGACTCGGGCAGGATCTCACATCGTTTTGGGGAGTTTGGTTGGACTGAAAGATATGCCTTGGGACAAACAAATCAAACAGATCAAACAAACACATGTCTTGACTCGAGGATTCTTAGGGTATTTTGGATTGCACGTCAAGTTCGGATGAGATCACGTCGAATCATCAGTCGCGACTGAAAATCAATAGCTGGTTTGAAGGAATGAAGTCGTCGCGCTTTTTGTGGCAAACCGAATTGGTTTGGACCACCTGGGGGTCTTGCGGTGCGCAGGATCCCTCGTCAAGTCCCAAGAAGGCCACCCTCATCGCCTGTGTGAAATCCCTCGAGCGGATCTGCCAGGGAGCTGGTGACCTCAGTGAGAAGGTCGATCAATCAAGTCTCCGCAGGAAAAGGTGTGACCTTTCAATAGACCAATGCAAAAGGCATTGGCTGTGACCCATTGGCAGTAGGTAGCTCTTTCTTGAAGCAACTTGGCCTCTATATATAGATGCTTGCAATTCTCCTGTTCAGTTCGTAGTTTTCGCCTGTTTTCACCTGTCGTACACAGGGCAAACAGGGCAACCGCACTTCTGGCTGTCGAAGAACAAATCCGCTTCCTCCACATTGGTCTTGCCAGCCGTCTCTGGCCTCTCACGATGATGGATTGAAAAAACACAACAACATAAAACACATCGATGATTGTCCCACATGTTTTCCACATCCCTTTGTAGTCCAACATCCTTCAACAGCATTCAAATATATCACTAAAATAAACATACCATAATTAAAACATGTGTTCCTTCTGATCTTCTGGCTGTTTATGTGTCCGGTAACTCCATCCGATCATCTCCGGGTCGCCTCCATTTCTCCAAGCCCGGAACCTGAGAGCTTTCACGTCCGTCACGCAACGAGTCGACGGGTGCAACAGTCGTGTGGGGCAAAAGGAGATCTGTTACTACTAGCTTCTTGGCACTTGTTACTACTAGCGATGCCCTTGTTACTACTAGCTTCTTCATGTCAGGACGGGTCAGAAACATCAGGATCTGGTCTTCTTCAGTCCATGTTGTCTCATGAGTCAGAATCATTGATCGCGGAAGGACGTTGAGACTTCATGTGTTCCTATGGCTGCTGCATCCTTCAAATGCAGCCATAAGGTTTCAAGGCTGACCGAGCAAAAATGTGTCTCTCAAGAAAAACAACTCCACGCAACCAACATGTAACATGTCGGGAAACTATGTTGGCTTCACATGGTGTCACTTTTGCCAGTCATATCTATATACGTGGATTTGCTTTGGAGGATATTGATGAACATTGGAGACTGATTGAGGGCCTTGCAAAACAAACATGTAACATGAGTTGTCTTCACAAATCGCATATGGCATAAAACAAAATGAAGCAAACATTCAAACCATGTCAGAACCACAGCTGTCTATGCTTGTAGGATCTGCTCAGCCCGTGCCGGCCATGCGGAGACCGTCTCCGCTTTTGCTGAGGCCCTTGGCCATGAGAAAGCCCCGTGCGGCATCATAGGGCATCACCTTGCCTCTGAACGCGGTGGTTTTTCACAGAAATCATTCATGGAAGTGGATGGCATGGCCCCCGAAAAAGGCACAAAAAGCTGTGTTTGTTCACTTTCATGTGTGTGTGTGTGACTCAGAGTGTGGTTTTCTCCGCATATCAAAAAACTCCTCAAGGCAGGACGACAAATACTTCTGAGTGAAGAGATTATAGGTCATTCCTTTGGACACGCTGCATCATCGGTCATGCCACTCTGTTGCCCCTCAACCCTAGTCGTTGGCGTGACCTGGACACATAGCAAAAACATGCAAAACACCATCGATCTGCTTTGGACAAGCTCCACTTCTCCATCTGTTTGCCAACTTGCATGCTTTTGCCGAATCTCCTTCGACTCGAACCATCGAATTCATCGCTTCGCCTCGACAGCTCTTGGCCCATCTTGGCCCCCCGGCCAGGCCCACGACTCTTGGTCCCATTGGCTTGCCGCAGGCGCAGTTGAGGAGCAAACACCTATAGGGATCCAAAGTGAGCGGGCCGCCCGCGTAACAAGACAAAAGCCCAGGAAATGGCCCAGTCCCTCGGTGGAGTTTATTGGAATTGTCAGCTTGATGTCTGGATGGTTCATTTCAATCAATGCTGCCAGCTAGATGTATTATGGATGGTTCATGAATTTTTCTACCATCCAGTAATTTTAGACTCCTGCAGGATCTCACCAATGTCCTGGCCAGGGCCCAAACCACAGCTGTACATGTGACAGCTTCCTCAACAAAAACTAGGTGGGATAGCTCAAACTAATGTTGTGCATATTTTGTAGATCACCTCGTATCCTACTGATTTGTATGTGTCCTTTTAACACATAAAGCTTTGTCACCAGAATCTCACCCGTTTGTCCTGTGTGCTGCCAAAAGAAGGGATTGGTCCATGTACCCTCTACTCTGCAGTCTTTCATGAGTGACTTTGAGGTGTTTACTTTCAATATATTCGAGTGTGTTGATGTGTTTGAGTACTTCTTCACATCAATTCACAATGGATTTCAGGCCAGTGACAATCACAGCACCATCCACTTGCAGGTCGTAGGATCCCAAGGACCTCTCATCCACCATCAAGGCGCCTCAAGGGTGATACAGTTCCATCGCCAGGCGTGTGGTGATACACACAGACATAATTACTTCAATGCCACCATGTGCGTAATTCCTTCACCTTTCTAGGGTGCCTCTACACACCTCACCATTCTTAGGACATCTTCGGCAGCGCGGAACCCCTCTGTGCCCTTCTGGGCTCCTTCCGCTTCCTCGCAGCGCCCCTTCTCGAGCAGCACGCGCGCGCCTCGACAAAGCAATCGTTGCTCCTTGGAGAGAATACCCCAGCCTCAGCTGCGTCGCACCGCAGTAAGCCTTGAGGTCATGACGTTGTTTGAGAACCACAGGGAATCGGAAAGGACTTCAAGACCCCGTCAGAAAGCACCCAAACGCCAGAAAGCACGAGAATTGTACACCAACGGACACCGGATGTGATTCAACGTGAGGCGATGGTACCATCACGTACCATCGGATAGGTGGTCAGAATCCAACAACTGGGAACTAGGTACACTCCCTGAAGTGAAAACATGGCCCCTTGGATGACCGATTTGTCCAATTGAACGAACTGGTGTCGCTTCCAGGGACGTGTCATGTGTCTGAGTCAGTCCTCCCAATTCCTCCTGTCCGCCGCTGCTCGAAAGCTCGCTCGCTGTGGGGTCATCTTGGGTCATGACACCCGGCGGGCGTCCAAGCCGGAACTCACCCTGGTAACGTTGGACCTTTCCCCAGAGGTCAGTAGATCTATTCACTTTCTTCATGATTCGCTGACAATAACAAGTCCCAGCAGGGTGTCCCACCCGGGACACCCCCGGTCCATCGGGAAAACGCCTCGAAGCCCGAGCAGCTCTCCTCTAAGCGCCGCTTCAGATCCTTCACGGTCTCCCCCGGCGACGCCTTCCGCGGTGTAAACGGTGAGTTCGGCGGTGAGTTCGTCTATGAATATCATTGAATATCTATGACTTTCTTCGACATGGACAAGTTATGATTTGTTTCTTTTGCATGTTGATGCATGTTGGGTTCATTTCTGACATTGTGTTGCCCTTTGGATGAGGGAAGCCTGGAAGCGAGCGTCAACAACTGCAGACGTCCCACTTTGGAGTGAGGTCCACCACAGATTTGTTCATCCAATGGAAGCAAATCGGAGTACGGTACAAGTGACACTATAATATATATATATATATGTATGAGTTTATACATGTAGGGTCTGTAAAAACATGAACCCCAAATATCATGGCATGTCGTGGCTGCACAAGAAGAACCCACCCACATTCTGAAGGAAAAATGGACAGTTACACCTCCCAAGTACCATTGGATCATGTTGGATCATATGGGATCTGTACCATCTGCCATCATTGCTGCCACGAACACAGTCCTCTGCTAAGATTGCTAAGTCAAGTCTCAGAAAAGGTGGCAACCTACAAACACAAATGTCGAGATCAGAACTCAGAACATGAAAGGACTCTAAAAGTCCTGCTCTAACCTACAGGAGGGATGGCCAAACTAGCCTTAAGCTTTGCCTAATTAAAGAACTTCTGGAGGGTCTCTGGCCAACATCCATTTCCGCAAAGTCTACAGTAACATCCCTCAGTCTTGCCTCCAGGTGCAGGTTCTTTCCTCCACTATGGCGGATGCACACCTCAGTCGCACCAGGAAGTCGCGACTCACTTTTGGGGCGCGATGGTTTCTTCCGGGTTGCGGCGTTATTCTAGGATGTGTCCTTTGGGGAACCCTTTTTTGGGTCCCAATTACTTTCTTCAGGCTCAATTACAAAGGACCACCCGGTCCGACCCAGCTTCCAAGAAAAAACGAAGCTCCAGTCTCGGTCACCCAAACCTGCCAAATCGTCTGACCAGAACTGCTTCGTGAAGCGTGAAACCGCGCGCCTTGAAGGTGTTCAGGTGTCGTTCAGCCTGAGCTCTGCGCCGCGCGTTCGCCATTGTCTGCCGACATGTCCAAGTTGGATACCGCTGCTGGAATTGTTCAAATACACCTGAACAAAAGCAAAACTATATGCTTGCTGCATGCAGGTGGCCGAACAGGGAGGAGCGGTGCCTGGTTCATAGAAGTCCATGGCGCTCCGGTAAAGCAAAGCGTGGACAGGTCTCAAGACCTGTGAAGGCCAGGAAGCCTTTTTTCTTTGTGTGAGTATGTCTGAGTCCGCACAAGGGTTGCTAGATGCACAGGGGCGGCGCCTCATTTCACAACATTTCACAAGCATGTGGAACACTAGACGTTCATTGGGGAGCTGGGTTCGTTACTCAAGAAGTTCTGCGGCTGTCTCATATTGAGGATGCTGAACGCTGACCCCAAATCCTGCATGGAGCTCCGTCTGACAGGATGCGCAAAGAGACCTTCAACTGGAGCCAAACGATTCCCGGTACAAAAGGCAGCAGCAAGCATCAGTAGATCCAACATCTACCATGTGACCTCACCAAAAACTGACCACTGGTTTTGTCAGTTGCTATAAATGATGCTCATTGCAACTCTTCTCCCCACAAATGTGTGTTGATTCTGGTGAACTGTTTTGAAGATGTTGAAATAGCCTATCAAAGGAATCAAAGGCAAAAGAATATGCCTGCGTAGCCGCTGTGAAAAGTTATTCCGCAAACACTTGGTTGCTCCTGCACTCTGAAAGTCCAGAGTTTCAGGATGGTTGATATGCATGTCCCTACCTTGCCTCTTGCCTCACCAAGCAAGGAAACTCCCGGAAAAAAACAACTTCCCATTCCTTGAGGTACAAACTGCTTATCCTGGAGTCGACCCATCAAACTCACCTGCTTGGTGGCTACGAGAAACTGTATGAAACTTTCACTCATCAAGTGTTGATCCCCAATCTGCTGGTGGGGGAGAACCAAAAAAAAGCGACCACACCTGAGCTTCGGAGCACCTCCACCCTGACTCTCCAACTCATGCCTCAGCTGATGCATGAGGGTGATTGAGGCGGGTGTTTCATATGCTTGGTGAATGGGAACAAATGGGAAATCCCAGAATTTGGATGTCTCACATCCTGTTGCTGAAAGCAAGCGGTTTTATATAAGCGAAGTGAGCAATGGTACTGTTGATGATGTTCAGTTTTGGTGTGGGTATTACGACAATTCAGTATGTGGACTCCAGCCCAAAACTCCCAAACCAAATTATCTGATGCTACACTAAATGTCGTGCGGTTAACATACAAAACGGGAATTGCACACACGCCCCACATCTTCACATGTGTGACGTGAAGTGCTCTGCAAAAAAAAACAGTGTGCAGTTTGACTTAAAAGCTTCGCACAGCGAACATCTCACAAGAAATGCATAGAAAGTCAAGGAACATCATGAACATCAACTGATGCATATTATCATATATACTGTATTTATATTGATATTCCATGGATCTTCTACCCCCTACCCCTTTGAGTGGACCGATCTGAGCAGTCCGGACACTCCGAGGCGGTGCCGACAGAAGCACAGCGTGGAAGATGTGGCGCGGCCACAGGGTTCGGGTGTCCTGCCCGTGCGGCGATGCTTTCCAACCGCCCCTAGCGGTGCGAGGCGGCCTCCACCTGGACCTAGCGATGGGCTCCAAGCTAATGCCCAAAACAAGAAAGGTATCATAATATGACAACCAGGATGGAGAGGAGCCTGGAGAGGGAAGGAAAACGTCCTGTCATGTCTTGGGAGGATCAAACATTCACTCTTCCCTGCAACATCCCAGAGTCGGCTCACCTGTGGAAGGGTCAATCGGGCCAATGAACTGCAAACTTAGCTGGCTAAAACTTGTAGTTCCTGGTTCGATGAACTTGAACTTGTTCACTCAATCATCAGTTTGGATTTCAAGTATAGGCCTATCTTGTGCAGAGTGAGCTTAACAGGTCGAAAATTGCTTGAATGAGCCGCCGTGGCTTATAAATCATCCATCCTGCCCCACCTGGGATATACTCAACCTGATGATTAGTGGGGATGTTGTCTGTGTCCAAACTGTAGAACCAGCCTGAAAACACATATTCTTGTCCTCGACCATTGGTGTTCTACCAGTTTCTATGTTGGCTCTTGAGGGTAGTGATAGCATACTCATCCATACTCTCATGCTACTAGGAACAAGGACGCTACGAACGGGGCTCCTGGCCTTACTACTAGGAACAAGAAGCTACGAACGTAGCTCCTGGCATCGCTACGAACGGAGCGATCGGACGCTACAAACGTAGCTTCCTCCACCGGTTGCCATCTCTCGACCCAATCCTCGAACCCAAAGAGCCCAAGTGCCGCATCTGGTGGGAAGAGATTGAGTTGTGTCGGATGCGTCGATACTGCTTCAAGAGACTGTGATGGTCTATAATATGTCCACATCTCCAAAACTGGTCGTTTGATGAAGGCATTGAAAGAAAGTGTTTGGCAGAACTGTATGATTTCGTTGGTGTTCGATGCTCAAGCAAAATGGTTGAAAACATCCATGAACTTTCATGTAGAATACCAATTGACAAAACATGATAACACCCCCTATATACCAGAATGGTTTACATCTCCATATGCTGAATATAAATGCTTTATTCATTCCGGTCTACCTATAGAATGATCTACATAGTCCATGCACTGAGTCTGTGGCCCTGACACCTCAACCTCAGTCCCCGACCTGGCAAGCACCGCACACCCAGTGGACCACCACCGAAGGCTTCCTGGGTCGACGCGGAGCGAGCATCGGAAGACGCTCCAAGCGGCGAGGGTGGGAAGGAAAATGCCACCGTCATGGAATGCATCGTTTCCGCATCGTTTTCCCCGCAAAAGCCCACTGCACTTGGCACGAGCGAAGGAAAACTGAATCAGTGACTGTGAGACTGTCACCCGCACTAAGCTCTCTTTTGGGATCCAACGCTCGATGGTCCGGTGAAACAATGTGAAACACACCCATCCCTGGGCAGTCCAAAGTCCGATCCCTTGCAAGTTGGAAAAACAACCGCCACTGCTGAGACATCTTCATCGTTCTTCCCATCCCTGGGCGTTTGATCTATAAGAACAAATAAGAAAACATGTGAAAAAGAAGTGAAAAGAAGGATGTTGGAAAAGGGACATCCTTGTCATTGTCCCATTTTTTCCCATTGCAAAACCCCTTTCCGGTTGTTTTCCTCGTCCCAAAAACACCTTTTCGACTCCTCAACCCTCCCGAAAGTGGACCAGCGGCTTGGCCACCGGCGGACCCGGCCGTGCGGTGCCTGTGGATTAGAGGCATTGAGAGGCCTTCTTGGATTCGATGGTACAAGGTGACTGCCAAGTGCTTATTATCGGTTATGGGGCGTCTTCGTGAATGTGTGTTAAAATGTCTGACCAAAACTAGGAGCAAGGACGCTACGAACGGGGCTCCTGGCCTTACTACTAGGAGCAAGGACGCTACTACACCCTGCTTTGCATCGCTACTAGGAGCATTCTTACTAGTAGTAAGCACATGATTCAACAAGGCGATTGCGTTTCAGGGGGGCCGGTCGCTGCTTCTGGCCACATGTCTGAAGTCCACGCTCGCTGTTGCTAATATTTAGGTACTATCTTCAGGTCGACTTTGCATTGAAGTTGCCTGAGGGTTTTGGATGAGATCTCAATCGGAGATCTTTCAGCTGAAAACCTGCCAAACTGCATCTCTGGCACCTCATACACACGCATACACATCCAACGTAGCTGTTTTTGGAAACCGACCAGTTCTAGTTGCCTTTTTGGCATAGTTCCATCATGATCCAAACACTGTTCTCATTAAAAAAGGAAGTTCCTCACAGCTTTCTTTCTGCCGAACTCCGCCACTCACGTGCCTGAGAGGCAAGTGCCAAGTAGAAGGTCCTACCACGGATCACGGCAAAGCTACCGCCCACCAAAATCAGGAACACCAAGAGAAACACAAGAACCTCACCGATGAAAGTCTTCCCAAAGCACCAAGTCCAGAAGGCAAGCCTTCGCAGTGGCAATGGCTTGAAAGCGCTTGGTGGCCTAGATCGGAAGGACGAAGGACGAAAAAAGGTTCCAAGTGAAGCCTGATTCAGGCCTGATCCAAAGGATGCCAAAGGTTTTGGGTGGTCTTTGGCATGGCAAACATGCATGTCCCATGTCGCATGCCTCATAATTGTTGAAGCTTCTACAGCTGAGCTTCGTCATAGAGTCATGAGAATTTAACAATCAGGCCAATCATGATGGTTGGGAAGGGTCTTCTCTCATAAACATAATACAATATGATACATGACACATGATACATGATACATCATGATATAACCCTGCGGTTTGCAAGCAAGACAGTTGGGCCATGTGAGCCGAGCCATCGGGGCCAGGCCCTCTTCCCATCAACGCTGGGGCCATCGTGGCCAGGCTCACTGGACCAGCTGAGAACAACTTCACCACCGCTCAACACGCTTAAGGCCAGGAGCCCCGTTCGTAGCGTCCTTGCCCCCGGTGGGCTCCTCTGCACCGCTCCCGCTCCCGCTCGCCTCTTCCTCGTTTTGCCCCTTGTTCTTGTCTGGGTGGAACACCAAGGCCAATCGCCTCCCGATGCAAACCCTCAGCGGATGTTGCCGACACAAAAACGGCCTGTGCCAAAATCTCCGTCGGTTGCAAAAAGAAAAACAAGTTCGACTTCGATCAGTCTCGAGATTCCTAATCTGCCTTGAGGTCTAAATCTGCCTCAAACGCCCCCCAAAAAAACATCAAGCTCGCCTGAAAGCTCGCTTCACATCTTCTTTGGAGCAGCCTAGAGAGACGCGAGACGGCGCTCCGCGCGGTCAAATGTGTTGGGACGAACAGAGATGAAGACGGCATGAGCCGACTTCCTTCCGTTTGGCATTTCATGAGCCGCTATAACACGAACTTGCATTGAAAACAACGTTTCAGTGATATGGCTTTTCTTTGCACACAAGGTGTCTATCAAAACAAATCTATGGTCTTGCCCTACTGCCAAGCTCCACAAAGTCTTTTCCCAAACAAAACTATAGTTGTAAACCTTGGGCATGAGACTCGAGCCCAATCAAAACACCCGGCGATCTTGACAAACTACAGAATTACAAGGACCTTCAGCCTTTGAAAGCATCGAACATGTGAATATTCAATGAAACAATACTATATTAAACATATAAACCATAATATACTATATAATATATATACAGTAAACATATATCTCAATCTACACTTCTCAATCTGTGTGAAACCTCAAAGAAGGACCGTCTGAGGTCTTCATTCTCCCAATCTTTAACCGTCCTTGGCTCAGCCCCAGGACGAAGCGGGCTGCGGCCTGGAAATCGATGTGGGACTCTGGATTTCCCGCTGTCCTAATGTGGACTCTTGGTTTAATAGAAACCACCAGAATATGGTTTTATTCATCGAGAGTGTACATTAAGCTCCAAGAAAAAAAACGAAATGATTGAAACATGTTGAAAGAAATCTGGAAACAACACCTCCAACACCTTGTGACAAGTCCTTGTGCTTGCCATGCTCCAGATTCCATCCATTTCTGTCGCCACTGAAAGGGGGAAGTTGATTTCTGATGATATATCACTGATACACAATAAGTGCTATAGGTCTCCAACGCCCGGGATCTCGACGCGTGCTGGAGTTCACGAAGGACTTCACGTGCTGGAAGAACAGCGACTTTGGATTTGACGAACACAACATGACTGGTCTGACCAGTTGGTTGACTCCATGCCGAACCAGTGCTGCTTAGCGACACTACAATTCTGTCTGTTGCATGACAACAGCATTCAATGATGCCTAGCCTATGGTAAGGCCTACAGTGCCAGTATGTTATGGTCTGCAGAAGAACGCTTGAATTGAAGGTGTCGACCTTCTTCTCACAGGGAGCCTTGTCACTTACCTATCACAAGCACCAATATATCAACTGTGAACCCCACACAAGACTTGTTGAAACTGCTTTGACTCCTTTGTCGGATGACCATAAATGAGGTTCAAAACCTTAGTTTAGCTACCGAACTGGTCGGTTTTCAGATTCCAGCGCTTCTCCCACTGTATTGATCACTTAGTAGAACCAACCCTGTCTACTTCACGAAGAACTTATCCACAGTCGATGCAAGTTAAGAGATATCAACATATCTATACATATCTGAACCACGCCATCAGTGTATCACTCGAAATCCCTGATGAACTCCGGCATTCTGCGCATCTTCCAGATGGCCCAAAGACACGGGAAGCCTCTGCACTCAGCTTGCTCTCCGCGCCCATGCCTTGATCTCTCGACGACGGTCGGGCCGTGGTGAATCAGCGAGACTCAGCGAGACGACTGTTGACTAACAGTCCCAGTGGTGGTATCCAATCAAACGTATCATCTGTCATTTGTGACTTTGCTACTTTTCTAAAAACATTTTGGGGATCAAAGATGACCCAAACACTGATCCTTATGATATTGCATATTCGAAACATGAACGATGAAGCAGGAAAGTCTGGTCATGAACTGCTTTGTTTTTGCTTCAGGCTGTTGGCAACACCGAACCAATCCAACTCCAAAGTAATTTGCATTCATTGGTGTTATGTGTAGAACACCGAACACAAACACTGTGGTTCGGCAAGCTGCTGAAGCTGTGGCAAAAAGAACCTCGAAAAATTATCTTGGAGGTTTCAAGAAGCAACCTAAATACTTATGAGAGAAAGTATGGATAGTGATCATTGTATCGTTTCGTTGTTGACACTCTCCCATCAACCAAACACAAACACTCACAAACGGTTTGTGACAAAAAACACTTGATAAAACCTTTGTCATGTCCAGTGCCTAGGTCCTCTACCAAAGGTAACAACTTCGCCGAAGTCAGCTCCCGTGCCGCCCTCCGCTTGCGATGGTGAGGCACGTCAGGCATGCGACGGTGGGCCTGTTGAGGAGAGACTCATCCGACAAAAGCCTTGGCCTCTGAGTTCCATCATGGTGGACACATCGGGGTTGAAATTATATAGGGGCGAAGGGCCAAACCCCAGTATAAAAATGGTATAAACCAGGGTGCAGCAAAAAACGATTGTCTCGAAGCAACTGGACATGTTGCACCAAGCATAAACCATTGCTGGCGGCTAGGCCTCCAGCAACAGATTGTGGGAATTGTATCATGTCCAAAAGTACCTTGTTCATCTTTGTTTTGCTTGTTATTGTCTCGATTTATGTTTAGCGAAACAAGGGAGCGGCCAGTAGACACACAGAACTCATGACACAAAAACAAAAAAACATAATATATAAACATTTATAAACATATATAAAATAGGCCCAAATTCCAAACATCCACATCAACCAGCAAACATCGTCGGATGGACGGTTTCTCTACAACAAACATGACCGAATGACTCCACACAGTTTTGCGTGCGCTGCGGGTGCCTTGTTCTTTGGACATGCTGCGCAGGCTGCGCATCCCGCCGTCAACCGTGCCCCACTCTGATGAGCCAAACAAAATGCGGAAAATCGGCTGTCGGGCAGCCAGTTTCAGGATGTGGACACAATGCATCTCACTGCAACGAAAAAGTAAATAAATGTCACGCCCTGCCCCCCCCCCGCACGCACATACGACAAACAAGTAGAAACCAATTCCCCAACATCCTGCTTCCCAAGTTCTTCTTACCATCTTGCAGCACTTGGAACTGAGATGTGAGAAGAACTCTCCAGCTGGATAACAAAAAGCTGCATGCGCCATCTTTTGCAAGATCCACGCAAGTGGGTGGTTTCATCTTCACCTGGCCGGATCCAATTGACAAATGCGTGGCCTCCGTGTGGTCGGAACCTTGGTTCAGGAGGGTTGGAGGGGGTTCTCGACTTTTCATCGCCAAGTGATAGTAATTACTCTGCCATACTCTCTGATACTCCTGCTTGCGCCGGATTCTTTTTCCACATCTCCACCGTATTCCTGAGCCTGGACACGCATGAGCCCAAACCTCGAAAAGAAACACTTGCCATCGCCCTCATTACAATCCGTGCGCAGACCCTGCTGGTTCGAACCAAATCGCTCGTGCATCTCACTCGCCCAGATTCATAACTATATACTTTGCCCTTAAGGCGCAGCGACTGTGCCGCTGTGAGGTCGACCTGAAGACTGTTTCACAGTCGAAGGCCCAGGCCGATTCCAAGGTGTCAAACGCGCGACTGAAGCTGGACTCAAAGAACTGGAAGCGACTGAGCTTTGAAGGTTTGTGCCTCAAGATTGTGCGCAAAACGCCTGCACATCGTGCCGAGAAAAAACTCTCTCGCGATCTATGGGTCACTAAGACTAAGATGTTTCGTGCACACACCCGGCTGTGTGACATCAAGCTGACCTGGGACTCAAGCACAATCAAGCATACAACTGTCTGATTCACACCCATCAACAGCACAAGAAAAAACGGCTAAGCTTGGTCAGCTTGATTTGCCAGCTGCGACGGTCGACAAAAGAAGTTATCAAAGTTGGGATGCCTCTAGATTCTAGATAGTCTGCAAGGGGAATTCCCAAACCGACAGGCTGAGAATTCTCAAGTCCCAAACCTAGGCTCTTCTTGTGCTCACATATTCTACACAGGGCCACAACCTCTGTGGGTCTCGCGACCATCGGCTCGCAGAAAAAAAGAGGATGCTGAGGCCAAGATCTCAGCCCAAACGCGCCCCGGCAAGAACCACCACGGTGGGCCACCGGCAATCATGGTCAAAAGTGGTCCAAAAGAAAATGTTCAGTTCAAATTTGGTCTGGCCAAATACCTGCAACATCCTGCAACTATAGCTGTTGGTAGCTGTTGGAGATTCGGAAGGGGAAGCTCTGCCACTGGCCCGCGGCGACGCCGCATTGGGAGTCTTGAAGTACAAATATTGCCACCCAAAAATGTCGTTCAGCGACCACACAGCACCAAAACAACAAGGCCTTAATGAAAGACTTCCAAATGAGGTCACAGTCCTACCATGTCCTACCCTTGATAACCCGGCAAAACTACAGTCAGTAGATGGACAACATCATCAGACCCCTGAGTCGTTAACTGTCACATACCCGTGAAGCATCCCCAAGCATCGTTCAATGCAGTTTCTTGCAGTTTACATCGTCAGGGTTTGGTTTATTTAATTCGTTTCGTCCATTGGCAATAGTCACGTCTGGAAGGCTCGCCAGCATTGAGTTTTAGGGTGGGAGGTCAAGGTGGCTTCAAGAGTTTGAATGTCCTCCATCTACGGTAACGCAGAAGCGCTCATGAGTATATAATTACCAGCCATGGGTTGTCGAAGCTTGGTCCAGTCGTTCAAACTCAAGGTGGAACCGCTGGGTTCACAGGTTCTTGAAAACTTGCAGCAAACGTCATCAGCGTGTCGAAACCAGGCTGAACACTCCGAAACGCGACCATGTTGGCTCAAGCAGTCCATCGGAAAGAATGGCATACTCGCGCTCTTGCAACAGTCGCAAGACTCGTGCACAAGTGATGAAATTCCACTTCAGTTCACTCTTCACTTCAGTTCCACAAAGGTCTAAGACTCAGATTCCGATCTCAGTGGGTCGCGTGAAGACTGAAGTGTCCAGCCTGACCACTGGTCTTTGCGTCTCCTCACTGCAAAGTTGCCCAGTTTCCCCTCGGCCGGGTGAAAGAAGGAGTGTCAGGCGGGGTTCCCCAAGCACCAAACCAGCAGTGATGGACTATGCAATGGCAAAGAATGCAGGATTACCCAGCAAAGAAGGCAGGTAGCCTTAAAATAAGTGGATCACAATCGCAAAGCCAAAACTCATAGGTAATGTCCGCCTTTCAGCCGTTTCGATGTAATTACTTCACATCTGTAGCGGACGGTCAGTGTCGACTCCCCAGAGGAGTGGCAGTTGGCGATTCTTGTAGACCAAGTGCCAAGAACATGCCCGAAAACATCAGCACTCCAAAACAGGCTCATTCTCTTTGTTTAATATTCTTAGGTAGGGGATGATCCGATGATCCATGATGATCCTACATCTGTCTGAAGGCGACTCCTTCCTCATCCTCACGCTCTCCCCTCATCGGCCACCCCGCGGCATGTCGTCGGGCAAACGCTTCCGCCGCCCCTGCGAGCTTTCGACCTGAAAACAAGGGGAGGTGGGATGGGCCAACGCAAAAACAACACTTAACAAAAAACAATACAACATCCGCAGCCTTCGGAACAACATGTCAACCCCTTCACGTGTGTGCTCGTAGAACTAGGCCACTAGGCAGGCCAAGCTCTGGCATGTCTCTCTCAAAAGGAAAACATTGAAGCAGTCGTGTCGCGCGTGTGCCCGTGCCTGTGCTGGCGCTTTTTAGATCGATTCGTCGCGCGCGGCCCAAATGTCTCGCCCAGATGCGTTTCGACCAGCCAAAAGGTGCTGCACATTGCCAATGGCCTTGAGGCCCGTCAGACGGCCCGTCATGCCATGCGTCCCCCCACGGTTCATGCAGTAAAGAACTGCCCAAAGAATTCCTGTAGCTTCAATTGTGACCCCCTGCTGTTTGGTCAGAACACGGCTTGACATTTGACCCAAGTGCAGCTCTGAAGTTGCCCCATATCTGCCAGAAAAGATCGGAACTGGGCTGCCCTGCAGCACTCTGTGCCACTCTCTGCTGGCTTTGGACCTCATATCCAGCTTGGTCGAGCACCGAACACTGTGCAATCTCAATAAAAGGTGAGCTAGGCTCCAATACACCAATTTAATGAACAAGGTGAGTCATCTCCCCTCATCTACATCGCCTTTCGCCAGTTCATCCATTGTTACTGAGGCCAGGTACCGGCTGTGCTCTGCCTGAGGCATTGATCAGTTACTCGTCACGGAAGGACTGACGCACGTTCGGACTCGTCACTGAAGGACATGTCTGTGAGAAAATTAGAGGTGCTACTAGCTACAGGACCAGTACTAGGGGAGTACTAGGCAAACAAATGATCGGCACTGCAGGGACTGTGCAGAGTGTAGCACACTAGGGGACGACACCTCGATGATGGACCAGCACGGCTCGCGCCACAGGCACTCCGGAGTCCTTGGGCTTCGGAGGGGTCCGTGGGGGGTGCCCTAGAGGTGATCGCCGCCATGGCCGCCATGGCCCAAGCAATGTTGACATCTCTCCCGCTATAGTTTCATCTAAATCCAGGTGCCCACTGGTGTCTTGGGAGAGCAAATCTTGGACGGGGGCTCGCTCGGGGGGGGGCCTCGCAGAAAGGGGGCGGTATGAGGCTGTCTGAGCTTGAAGTTTGTAGGGTCGGTCAACTTGTTGATAAACCATTTCATGAGTGCTTCTCATGAGAGCCAAATTTCATCAAATTTCTGCTATGTGAAGGCTTCGGTGAAGATCCTCAGCTGTTTTTGATGCACAAGCCGGCCCCTGTCATGGTCAGCAGCTTCAATGCCCAAAGGAAATAGAACTTGGGCTGTAACTCAATAAGCCACTCAACACTTAATAACCAACTCGTGCAACGCATCCAGAAAAAGACAAGAAAAGGCTTCTCCAGCTACTAACTTCCTGATGTTTCCATGCTCCTGATCTCTTCCTCCCCGCTCCCCCCAGGTCCTGCGAACTCTTGGCTGCTTCAGACAACCACGGGTCTCGCAAACACTCCTGCGGATAGCTAAATACAACACTTCCCACAGCCAATTGCACAGCTGCAAGCCTGACTTATCGCAAGTTGAAGACCGATTGAGGCAACATAGCCTCTCTGAATGCCATCAGTACCACTGCTTACTGAGGCTTACTGACCGCCAGTGCTGTTATTCAGAAAAATGTCAGAAAGCACACCCCAGGTTGATTCGTTGATTGTTCCACGACAGGCTGACTTACAAAAGCCATCCTTCTGATTCTGACTCGCCCAGCACAAGTGAAGCATCTGCAAAAGGCAGTATAGAATAACATTGCCCACCTGCAATCCTTCTTTAAGGCATACGTTGTGTTCTTTCCGTTGACGTTTGTTGATCTGTCATGACCTGTCCCTCACAAAACCAACATCACAAAACCACCCCCATACGCCTGCCAGTCCGTTCTCTGCGAGCCACGTTTTGTGCCGCTTTTCTTTTGCGCCGTGACTTCGACAACTCGCCGGATGCCATGCGGCCATGGCATCGGCCGATAACGATCCTTTCAGGATGAGTGGGATAGCCTTGGGATGGCCTTGGGTCAAGCTTGCGCACCCTGGGCCAGACCCCTGAAGATGAACAGATTCCTCTACAAGGGAGGTCAACCTCCCCCCGTTTGGTGTGGGAGGTTGTGACTCACAGCCATATGATGGAGAGCCCCTTGCATCGCTCAAATCCGCAACAAGGTCGACATGCGTCGACACCAAAACGCCGCGTCATGGCCTCACTCGCATCTTTGCGCCCGTGGCGCCTGAAGCCTTGTGGATGCAATACCTCGCAGACTTCAACGAGTTGGGGTGTGTTTCGCGTGATTTGGCATCCTGTGGAGTTGTCGGATGGCAGATCAACAGGCTTCGAGGGAGTCTTGCCTTTAGGAGATCCATACTATATATATATATGGGACAGAGGAACAATCTTGCTTGAGGGACGACAAGTATCGATCGCAGTCCTTGCATGGCCCAAAAAGGCTCCTTTTTGTGATGGCGTTGTCTCAGCTTCTAAGGTGATTCTTCAAACTCTCCAAATCTGAAGAGATCCAGCCCCCCAGCTTGAGAAAGTGGGTGCCAAGCTGCGCGCTCAGCATCCCGTCAAGAGTCGCGTCCTGGGCAGTGGGGAGGACATGCATTCGTGGGCTATATAAACAAACATTTGGGCACACACTCCACCCAT